AGGCAACTTAAAGAAGTAGCCTTGAAGCCGAGACTCAACTACAAAGAGCTTGATCCTAATCTGGGGAAGAAACCGATGAACCAGTGGCTCTTGGTCATAGCTGGTTCTGCATTTTGTGAAATTGGTTCTCAGCTGCTAATGTCACTTTTCTAATATTTACTATAGTTACCACACAGAGTAAAATTAAGTAAACAGGAAGGGAGGTGTAAAGCTAGAGAGCTGCTGCAACAGACCACATACATGTTCAGCTATTCTGAAACATCTGAGGGAGAAATGAGTATTTAGCTGGTCTTAAATGCTACTTGTTGTCAAATTGGATGTTTTCCTTTGTAAATTATTTCAATCAAATTAAATGCAGGCGTTGAACAATGATAAAAGTATAACTTACTATCATTGGGGCTGATGTTTCTTGCTTGATCATAGTTTAGCTTTTGTCATCTTTCACTGCCAAATAGGAAGAGACATAGTTACTGTAGGAAAGGCCTGACGTGTTTCAAGTTCTTTGGCAAGAAGTAGAGGTGAAAACAACAAAGTTAGAATCTGTGCATGTGATTCTTAAGAGAAAAGAAGCTTTGAGATGCCTGCTTCAGAAGCGTACCATTATTTTAGAAATTACAGAAGCTTCTTAGATTGTGATAACCAGAACTAAAGCTTCCATTAATGGTTTCTTTGCCATAGGAATCTCTCTTTGAAAAACTAATTTTCCTTTGAAACAAGCCAGTTGATGCTGAATGAGTGCTGTGCTCTTTTGAATGGATGTTGCATCTCATTACTGATGGTAGCTTTAGTGATGTTAATTTGTATCTAAGCTAAATTTATTGTTGCATGAAGTTGAAGCTTTCCTATAGGAAAAGGTGTAGTTCAATAATTTGTCTGAATATGTGAATACACATTTAGAGTCTGAAAGAGAACCCAGACATGTCTAGCAGCAAAACGTTGGTGTTTTAGCAAAGTAAAAGTAACTTTTCAATCGAACATTATGCCAAGAAGAGAGTGGGATTCTTTCCCCCCTGTGATGGGCTTGTGTTTGTTTTTTCCCCTCTTCATTTGATTTGAATCAGAGGCGAGATTCCCATGGGTGATAACTGCTTTTGTTCAATTTTACAGGTTGGAGACATTGTGAAGGTTACACGGATGAACATAAACGGTCAGTGGGAAGGAGAAGTCAATGGTCGAAAAGGGCTCTTCCCGTTCACTCATGTCAAAATATTTGACCCTCAAAACCCCGAGGAGAATGAATGATTCCCTCTGCCCCATTTACACTGCTGCTTCATTTCCTGGCTATCATTAGCATTGTTCAAGGTGGGATGATGACTTAATGGCACATTGCTAGCATTGCCCATTTTCCAGCTTGCTGCAGTCTGACAGTTCTTTTAGTATACATTTGGAATCCATACAGCTGAAGTCACTGCTGACCTTCATACCATAGTTGTGTCATCCAGAATTTAGTTTCACTTTTAAAACTCTGTTGGGCCTTAAGCTGGACAAGACTGAACTGGTATATAGGAGAGAAGAACAGGAAGGAAACTTTTCCTGTTAAGACTTCCATAGACTTTTTCTGGCTTGCTGAGTAGGAAGAGCCCTAACCTTAGATCAAACATACAACTTGTGTGTTACTGTCCAACAAAAAGCAACAACAAAAATGCAATTTTAGGACTGAAGAAGACTTAGTTTTAAGAGAACCTGTCCTAAGGTAGTACATTTTAAATGATGGTCTCTTTCAAGGACAATAATTGAAGCTTATGTATTCTAAGCAGTTGTATTAGAAGCTGCTCTTTTCTGTTAACTCTTAAGCTTGTTGTTGACCTTACTGAAACAGTGTGTGTTAAATGCAAATAACCATTGGTTGAGCTGCATTGAAGCTGAGGCATTTATTTATAAGGAAACTTAGGAGGGGTTGATACTTGTAACCTGGTTTTGACATACCTAATGCATTTCTATTGATTTTTGCAAGCACTAACTGTAGAAAGCGAGCTTTAAAGGGAAACACTTTGACCTGGTCTACATACAGCTCTTCTGCAGCGTTGAAAGTGTAGTCTTACTAGAAGTGCTTATCACCAAGCTATATTTGGTAGATCGATTGATCAGATTGCCATGGTGTGGAGAGAGGTAAGAGAGGAGTGAGACAGGAGAACTTGCTAAATACTGATAAAATCCTCTTATTATACCTTTGATACCCATTTCTCTGCAGGCTCCCTTCTCTCTCCAAAGTTTCCTAGCTATGCCAGCCCCAGCTTATGGAAAGCTCCTTTTCAAACACAATACCTTTTCTCCTAGGGTGTCTCCATGTTGCTGTGCTTCTTCTCCAGGGCAGCTTCCATCATCTTTTTTTCCTTCCCTCTTTTCCTTGCTTGTATCCCAGGTCCTCTGCATGCTGCCATCTTTTTTTTTTTTTTTACCTTTCTAAGTGAGTTGGCTCTGGTTTATATATGCCCCACATCCCTACCCTCCCAGCATCCTCTAGGAAATGGTTAATGGGAGTCAGCTGTCTGGGTTCCCCATGTGCTAAATTAAAACTCAGGCTGGAGGAGGCCACAAAGGTGTCTGTTACCAGTATAGCTTCTTTCCCATTTTCTGTATGTAAGCTGTACTGCTGTAACTGTACTTGCAGTAGGGAACTATATGGCTATAGCAAAATAAGTACAATTCATGCCATGCAGGTTGTCCTTAGCCTGTGTACAGGATAAGAAAGCTTAGGTACAGTGGTGCCCTGTGCTGCCACCTTTAACTGTGTTTTGTAGATGAACTGGAATGATCTTTTAAACATAATGGAACACTGAATTAACAATACACATCTGCAAAGACTGCAACTACAAACCTGCCTTTCAGACAGCCGTGTTAAGGAGAAGTGGCTGTTGTGGCAGCTGACAGGAAAACAGCAGCCCCCATTTTTCAGCTCCTGAAGGCTGTCAATTGTAGCAAAATGAGAAACTTCAGACACCCACAGAATCCCCCCAGTTCTTATAAATGTCAAATTATATAAGAGTTGTTGTCTTAAGTTCCAGCATGTTTTCTTGTTGATTTGTGTCGCTTGATCCTAATAAAAGCACGTTGTTCTTATTTCATGTGAAAGTGCCATGAGATCCTTAATTGGAAGGCACTGAAGAAATACAAACATGGCATTTGCAACAAGACACTTGGAATGTCGGGGTTTTAAAGAGGTCACTGTTCATTTATTAGCTGTTTTCCGTAGTATTGATCAAGTGGCTGACAGTCTAGTTCTTGTAGAGCATCTTACTACCAGATTAACTGTGAAGTAGAGTAGCATTGACTGAAGTGTTTGGTGCTGTAAAAGTAATCCTTGACAATAGGCATTGACATTTTGTCTTGCAAAGAAAAGCTATGCAGCTCTCTCAACTTAAAGAAGGTCATGCTTTTCCTGTGCCCCAGCTATACCCCTAAGTTTACTACATAGATTGTACTACTGAAAGTCATCTTCTGAATACAGAAACTGCACTAAACTCAGTCTGCTGCAGAGAAATCTTATTTCAGACCTGACCTGGTTACAGGCTGCTCTTCAGAAGACTGATTGTAGAATTCTTCCTTTGCATGGCAAATAAATACTGTGAGATTTGAGATCTTGAACACGGCTTTTAACCTGATTTTTTTCACTGAAATGAACATTGTAACTCATCCCTCATTGAATAAGGTATACACTTGGAACATTGGTGCATTGGTTTAGATTTAATTATGTTCTGATACTGCGGAAAAGCAAAATATTTTGCCTTCAAAACTATGCAAAACTTGCGTGTAGTGGTATCTGATGCAAAGACAAGAGTTCTTAAACGTCTTGTGACCCTGGTTTTAGGCCAGGGATGAACAGTGTTTCTCTGAGTAGCAACGGTGTGGTTCAGGTGTGTTAAATGTGGTTTAAATGTAGCATACGGACCACCCTAAGCTGATTGTAACCTTGCTTCAAACCGTGTCTTTGCTATTTTACTATAAGACAAGTATTTTCATATAAAGACTGCATTTGATCAGTGTGTGTTTCTCTCTGAAGGACTCTGGATTCTCAATCGCTCGTTGCTTGCTTACACGTGTGTTGTCTGTTGCTTTATGAAGCCTCTGAAATTGGAGTGATAACTATCAGTGTAAATGTACCTCGGGCATGTAAGGTATACATAATATGAAGCATGAGAGCCTACAAGTGATGGCTTCAATCTGTGCACCATTAAAGTTGTTCTTGCTTTTGAACTAGGAGCTGGTTTAATTACCTGGTGCCACAATAGTTAACTCTCACGAAAGACCTACTGTTTGACTTCCTCCTGTTGTGTACATGTGTATATAGACATTGAAGTCTCTGACCAGTCTGAAAGTTTAAATGGAAACTGTTTTAATCAGTGTCCATCACTGGATAAGCGCTAATTTAATTCATAATTGTTTACAAATTGGGAAAGAATAAACAGAAGGGAATATCCTGTTTGGGCTGGGGCTCTGAAGAGCCTGAGCGTTATTTTTGTAAAGGGAAAAACAGCATTCTTTGTGCCATTTCATGTGCCTGTAAAGTGATTTTTTATATTGTATTAACATCCTGGGAACGAGTGGGCTGCCTTTGTTTTCTAGTCAAGTTTTCAAGCATTTTCCTCAATACCTGCATTTGAAAGCGAGACCTGCCTAAAAGACTGCCTTTGGGACCAGTGGAAGCATTCTTGTATAGCTGTCATTTTCTGTTTACTTGCGTTAAATGAAAGTGTGGTTTGGGACAAGGATACAGTTACTGCAGTGGGAAAGGTGGCCTTGTATTTGAGACAGTCTTCACTGTGTAAACTTTAAAACACAATATGTAAATTAAAGACCATGATCTTCAGGCAATAATATTAAGTGTAAGCTTTTAAAGTTTATTTTGGGGATCATAGCGTGTTTTATTTTTTGTGCTATAAGATTAACAGTATTAAATGAATTATATTCTTAGAAGATATGGAGTGTCTTTTCTTAAGATTAGTGCCTTTTTAATTTCTTACCCCACTTATTTCATAGAACTGGTCCCAACATTAAGCCACTGTTTGGGTTTTGGGTTTTTTTTTGTTTTGTTTGGGGTTCTTTTCCCCCCAGTGCCCTGTTTGTACAGTCCAAATAAAATCTGCCTCCACTTACAGTATTATTTGTTGTCTTTAGTCTTAAAACCTTGACACTGTCAGCGAAGTGTTCAGGTCCTGACTGTCACTAGGATGCCCTGTTTGGTGTGTGAATGAGCGCGCCAACAGAAGTTTCCCAGAAGCAAAGGAAGAATTAAGCAGGAGAAAAGGCTGGTGCCGGGCTGAATGCTGCTCTCCTGGTTCCATCGTCGTGCCTCTTCTCTGACTATGCTGCTCTGCTCCGGAGGCTCACCTGCAAGAGATGCATCTCTGGTTATACAGATTACTGCTGGCTCTTCCTCCCTCACACCCGACTCTTCAGTGCTCCTCCTCTCACTCTGTTTAATGCTGCTGTTTTGCTGAGGTTTCCAAAGGTCTCTGTAGAAACCATGACCTTTTTACTGTGATACCCTTGACTCTGCTTGTAAGAATGACCGTGTTATGTGTATGGTTTAAACTAGCTTATTGTTTCATAAGGTGTAATTGGTGCAGGTTCTGGAGGGGGAATGGCTGGTATGGCAGCCACTGGTGAAAGATGGCAGTATAAGAAGTCAAAAATACCTGCTTTTGCAAGTAAAAACCAGGAGGTCATTTTGCCTTTTTACAATCAATCCAGATCAAGAACAGCACTAACTAGAACATAAGGGGTTTGGGTGGTTTTTTTAAGTATTTGGGACCATTCAGTTCATTAACAGTGTGTTAAAACTTGAGCTGATCTCATGGAGCAGAGAAACTTCAGAGGAACATCAGAAGCTCAACTGCTGTGAAGGAGAAGTCTAAAAAGCTTGTGTGGTTTCCCTGGACTCCGTAGGTATGTTCACAGCCTGGTGCCTGTCTTCTCTGGAGTACCGATTTCCATCGGATGTTAATAAACGTTCATAGCCAACTCTGCATAATGTCTTACCATCAGATGCTCACGTTTGTGGGGTGCAGTTCAGGAAACCAGTAGTATTTCAAATACTTGAGCAAGAACAGGTAAGGTGCATGCAGGAGGCATCATATCCCATTTCACAGTACTCTGGAAACCTTCAGCTTGCCAGCAGAAGCACTACCCCACTGCTGCAGCTGCTTCTCATGCTGCCTACAGTAGCTCCTGCTTTACTATTAACAGCAAAATCAGACGTCCACAGCTACACCAGACATATGCTTCCTACCGGCTAAATACCACCCCTCTGTTTGGGACAAGATTACTTGTTCTGGTAACATCCAGGCTTCTCAGACACTAAACTGTAGCACCTACACACACTGGGAGATGAAGTGATTTCACAGCCAGGGGCTTGGGGGAAGTTTAAAATACTTCTGTATGGACGAATCTTATTTGTACCTCAAGTACATCCGGTGTCACCAAATACAAAGCTGCACCGCTTCACACTGATGTGAGGCTGCAACAGTCTACATTCCCTTACTTCACTGCAAGTTTAGCAACAACTCCTTGTGACAGGCTGCTCACGTGCTTTACCATGGCACACGGCAGTTATCATTATTCCATATTCCACAGCTGCAGTGGGCTGCAAGGACACTGAGCTGTCTGTATTTTAACATGCAGCTCCTGCCCACCACTGCACAGAGCCCCAGCAGTGCACGGTGTCCATCACCAGCACTGGCTCTATCCTCCCTCTCCAGCTTCCTTCCCCTGGCACTGACTTCCAGGTAATTTCCCAGCTGGGGACCACTGCTCTCAACACTCCCTTTCTCCCCTGGTGCTGCTCTCCGCTCGCTGCAGTCAGGACTCAGGTTTTGTACTCCAGCGACAGCCACGTTTACTCAGTACAAAGCCCACGGTAACAAGAAGCAGGCAGGCTCTGGGGTTGGGTTTGTTTCTGGCTTACCCGCACACAGGCTTCACTGATCTAAATCTGAACTCCTTCAGCTACGTCACTCCGACAGCAGGCAGAGTAAGCTTTAATTTCTACCTCACCCTGGGCCCAGCTGGGTTTACATGTTTGTCTCATGTAATTAAAAGGTTTTATTTCTAAACCAGTGCAATAACAACCACCCCTTTAGATTCAACCAGAGGTATCCCTGTTTGAGCTTATACCAGTAGGAAACGGGCTTAAATACACTCAAATAAATGCTGCCACAGAAAGAGAACACTTTTCATTGTAATTTCGGACACGATTTACAATAGTGTGAGTTGTGCATGCAGGAAAGACCAGGTTTGTACCCAGTGGCGGGGACAGCTCACCTTGGGGCAGCTGTAGCGGGTTCTGTCCCCTACACTGTCCCCTCTGCCTTTTTTTAGAGGGCAGATCAGCTGCTCTACAGCAGCTGTTAAGCCACAAGTCACAGCTCAGAGTGGTAAGGTAAAGCAGTTCCAATTTCAGGTTACCTTAATACCCCAAGCTGCGAACTGTGGCATCACTGTGCAAACAGCTGAGCCCTCCTGCAGCAGGACTGTGAATGCACCAGGGACTGGCAGGCAGCAGGGGAAGAAACCCATCACAGCTGTCCCAAAGTGAGCCTCCTGCTCCGAAACTTGAGCTCCAAGAGCTTGCACACAGCCAAAGCTGCACCAGTTATTGTAAGTCACCAAGAGACTGTTGTGTGCCCACCTGGAGTCAGGTTATCAACACACTGCTCCCAGTGGACCACCCTGCACCGGAGCAGCCAGGCAGCCCAGCACTCACCACTGTGACTTGGACACATCTCCGCTTCACAGGGGCTCCTGCCTCGGACTAGCACCACCTTTGGGAGCTAAAAGCTGAGCTACTGCCCCTGCTCGGTGGTGTGATGGCTGCTAACCATGAGGAGACAGCAGCCCTCAAGTGCAGACACAGCCTCACCTGCAGAAGATGCCCTCCATGCTGCTCCCAAGGCAGGCGGGGAACGAGAGACGCAGAGAATGAAGGCAGCGCTCTCCTCAGATAACCTTCCCAGCACCTGCTTGCTTCATTCCAGGCATTTTGTAACCAGAACCCTCCCTGCACGAGTTATCAGTCTAACCCGCCGCTGGCGCACCAGACAATCGGGATCAGAGCTAAATCTGGGGTATCCACAGGGAACCGACTCCTGCTCTGTACGTCCTGGCTGGTCCAACAAGGGCAGCTGAAAGTCAGCGCTGAAAAATCCTTCACTTGCGATCTTGCGCTGGGTCTAGAAATCAAGCATTAAAGCCCAACAGAAAAGCGTGGATCACAGGCACTGCTAACACCCCTCCACTGCACTGTGCTTCCCAACCTGCGCTATCTAAGGAATCCTCTCCAGGCCCGGGGGCAAAAAGAGCTCTTGCTGCCATAGCAAAGGGTGGTGGGGCAGGAAGGCAGCGCTGGACCTGCTCCTTTGCCTTCCCTGGCCTACCCTGCACCCGAGACCCAACTGACTGAAGGGAGCGCTGAGGCAGAGGAGAGGATGCTCTTTGAAAGGACAGAAGGGGCTGACATCAGTGAACAACAGGAGCTGGTTTGCAGCTCTTGGCACTTGACTCCTGCTCAGCCCATCACCGCTCGGCAGCCAAACCAGGCAACAAGGCCCCGGGATTGCTCCTGACAAAGTGATGAAGGCAGCCAGATCTCAGAGCACACTGGCACTATCCTGAACTTGCCATTAGAAACATAAGAATTAAACTTGCCCATTTCTCATTACTGGGAAGTAACCGCCCCATGTGTTTCTAGACTCTAATGCCACTCTATAAAATATACTTCATGTTACTTTACTAACGTGATCTGGATTATGATGGACTTCAGGGACTCTCTGAGACTTCTACATGCTGAATCCATGTCTGTAATCTTGGACTGGCTGCTTTTTTGTCCTCATGCTGTGACCAGTGATACCATTAATCCACTGACCTTGAAGAGAAGGAGCTTTTCTCTTCCCAGGTATCGCAGCTGGTGATCTGGCTCCGAGTCTGCAGTGATGGCTGATACCCACACAGCATGGGGCTGGCTTCCTGCTGAGCCTTAAAGCCCTGCACTGGACAAAGGAAATGTAATCCATCAGATGTGGTCATCTTACTGCAAGAAAGAGCCATATCCCTCAACGATCAAATACCTCCCGCTGCCCATGACTACCTGGAATAGCTGTAGTTATGCAGCACTTTGGGGAATGAGATCTAAAATTAACAAAGATAATTTCCTTGCAAGAAATAGCATCTTGGCTTGGACATCAGGCACATCAGGGTGAGCCAGAAATGGAAAGGCTAAAATTGGGATTCTGCTGAATGGGCTGTCACGGGCCTGACCAATGCCGCAGGGTATCAGCACTATTGGAAACCTCTGACCAAAATCATCCCAAACGACAGGATGTATTCCAGTAGCAACAAAAAGGTTACTTCCAGTACTCCGCAGCAGCTCCTGCCTGTATGAGGGACCCACCTTCACCATCACGAGTGACCATCTAATAGAGGCAGAGGTAAGGTGATGGGATGGCAACAGCTCTCCAGCCAGAGGGGTATGGTGTTGGGTTTCTAGCCACAGTTTGTGCTGTGCAGCAATGGTAGCCACAGTTCTCCACAGCCGTGTTTGTGGCATCAATGCTGGCCTAAATTTGAACAGGCAAAAATAAAGACACACTGGAGAGCAACCTAGGAACAGAAAGTGTGCACAGGGCAGTAAGGATGTGGGGCTTTCATCCATCAGGCCTCCCCCACTGCACTGCTCTGATTTCACACTGCAGTCCTGCAGCCCAGTGGCAGTGCAGCACTGAAACAGCCAGGGAACAAAGGGGAGAGGGAGGAGGTGATGTACCTGGAGAAGAACAGGCTGGTTTAACACCCCTCCCTGCTGCCAAATGCTCTGTGGGCTCTGTAGTCATCACCTGGAATAGAACCACAGTCTGTGCCTCCTCCAAGAGAGAGTCCCTGCTGGAAACGTGTCAGGGCAGTGCTGGGGCAGTGATTTACAGTGCAGGGACCCACCTCGGGAGCTGCTGACACCGCACCCCACTGTACCTGGCTCCTTTCCCTTTCTCCACCATTCAAGCTACTTGTTGATGCTTGCTATAGCCTGAGAACCTGACGCAGGTATCGACCCAGTGAGGAATGCAGGCAGGGTTTGGGCAGAAAGGAGGAAAGGTCCCGCATTAACCTTGGGGTGCAAGTCGGAAAGACACCACACACGGCTGCCACCTAACGCCAAGACACCCTGACACAAGGGGTCCCTTCTGGTCCAGCTCCAGCCTGGCAGAGACTGAGCAGCTCCAAGGCAGCCCCATCTCCCCGGGACTGGTCCCAGGGCCCCAGGAGCCCCCTTGCACGTTCCAATGCAGACACATCCTCCCCATGGCGAGCGGCTCGCACTGGGTAACCCCCTCCTCCTCCGCTCGCTTTGCTGCCAGGGTCCCTCCCCAAACATGAACGGCTTCAGCCCTGACTTGCCCCAGACGCAGCCTCCGTCAGCACCCAGGCAAGACCGATCACGCAAACCCTGGCTCCAGACGCGCCGCGGGAGCTGCGCCCCTCGCACGCGTTAATCACAACGCGGCCCAGCCTGGGGTGCTCCCGCATTCTCCATCACTCTGGGACACCCTCCCGGGCCGCAGAACCTTGGCAGCAAAGCCCTGCAGGCTGCCCCAGCTGTCCCCTCGCAGGTCACACGCAGTCACTGGGTGGCACTGTGCCACTGCCTGTGCAGCGCCCAGCTCCATCCTCCTCCTCCTCCTCGGGGTGCCGGGAGGAACCCCCAGCAAGGCCTCTCCTCCCCGAGCGCACCCAGCTCAGCCACGGGTTAGGGATGGATGTCCGGGGACCCCAGGAGCCCGTGGGGAGGTGACCCCGGTGCCCAAGCAGGGGGTCTCGCTGCCCCCCTGCACCGCCCTCCTTCCCCACTACGGTTATGTTTTCATTACCGTGGTAAAAGGAGATCAACAGCATCTTTACAATATGCCCCTCCATAAAACTAATAGGCCAGGCAATTGGGATGGCCCCGTGAAGTACTTTATAGTCTGGACTCGGGGAGTTCATGCTGCAACTCACAGGCTGTCCCAACCCCAAATCCCAGGAATCACAGCACTGTTTCTCCCCCCTGTCCCCACTTTTGGGCTGGGAGCAGTGTGAGGACGAGGACAGTGCCCCGATACCAGTCTGCTTTTGCTTGTCTCCTGTCCCCCAGAGCCCCTCTCGGCTCCAGCAGCACAAGCCTGGTAGCAGCATCCACAGGGATCAGGGCTGCTTCTTTCCAGGGCACCGTGAGAGCTCTGCCCTGATTCTGAGAGCTTTTAAGGCACCACGACACAGCTATGCGCTGATTCCAGGAGCTTCTACATCACCAGGGTGAACCAAGGGCCAAGACGCTGCACCCAGCTCCACTTCTTTGTCAACACTTTGCCATTTGCTTCATTTACAATTGAAAGGCAAAGGCCAGGCTCAGGCTCCCAGGAGCAGGCAGCCCTTCTTGACACCATGATGGCAATACCCGCTCGGCTCTGCACAAGCCCCTTCGCTCCACATGGACACACTGTGTTTGTTTGGGAAGCTGGAGGTGACGCATTTGGTGTAACCCGGAGCCCCATTCTGGAGGGTACCTGGTGGGGTCTGAGGGACTGGTTTTGCCTCACACATTGCCAGGACGGACAGATATCAGTGGTACACTCCAAAGGAGTCCTGGCTCCAGCAGTGGCTGGGTGGATGACCTTGAGGAAAGCAATAGGCAAGGGATGCAGCAGCTGCCTACCTGCCTGCTTCCAGGTGTGTAAAAGCAGCCCGAGAAGTTTCCTTTAATCGCTCCCCCTACACATTAGGCCTTCCAGGGGAAATCAGCACAAATGCAACATCAGTGGCACCACGGGAATGGACCCTGAATGACTCAGAAGGGGGTGATTTGTTTGCTGAAATCCTCTCTTCAGTTGCCACCTACAGCTCTGAGCCTAGACAAACAGCTGGGAAAAAGAATCTCTGCTGAAAATCAATGCTCTTTAGAGGTAAGAGCTAAAGATCCTCCAAGGAATATAGTGTTGGGAAATAAAACGGAGGAGACTGTTCCTCTGCCATTAGGGTAGAGAACAAATGGGAGATGGGAAAGCAAAGGTTTCCAGGTCTCCATAAAAGTCGGAAAGGAGACAGAGCCCATTTCTCCCTTCTGAGGTTTATTGTCTTTAATCTCTCTCTGTCTTAGTGTCCCCACCTACCCCGCAGGACAGAGTCACGTCCAGACGTGCTGAAACGCTTAACTGCTGTTTGCAAAATAACTGAGGATCCCCAGACACCGGCTGCCAGATCCATGCCATGTTAGTGCGCATCCCTTCGGATGAAGGATGATGATCCTACCAGTGCCCGAACGCCCGGCAGATGGGCTCTGCGCTCCCAGGCAGGTAACATCAATTGTGCTGGTCAGGGGCAGCGACACCAGAAATGCCCCCAGCTCCTCACAAAGAGGCTCCTCCTCAGATTCATTTGATATCAGACCGTCTTTACTGCAGTTAATTCTGTAAAGCAACTCCCAGCATTGCCGTAGCTGCCGCAGTAACTGCCAGCAGAGCCGGCTTGTGCCCATGGTGAGACGTGGTCCTGCCAGCACTTCTGCCATCTCCACCACCACTTCAGTGATCTAACAGGGTGGGAGGGTTAAAACAGCCCTGCAGCTGACTCACCACCATGGCAGCATCTTAGGACTAATGTTCCCTCAAGTACCTGGTTTTAAAGTTGGGACTAACTTCATTTGGACTCCACATCAGAGCTCCGTGCTGCCTCGTGGGGGACAGAAGAAGGACTGGACTGTCGTTCCAGTTCCAAAGCCAAAAGACTCCTCCTTTAATCCAAGGACAAGATTTCTTTGCTAGGCACATGATAAGCTGCCCTCCCTACCTTCTATACTGCCCACTGACACTGGTATTTCAGACTAATTGCCACTCCATCATCTGATCCTGCCCAGCTGTCTAAAAACCCCAACATCCTGCGTGCCACTGGGACCTCTTTGTCAGAGGCTGTGAACTCATCTCCATCCAGCGCCAGGATGGACTGAACAAACTGAAGCAGTATTTTATTGCTGAAGCATAAACCATGGGAATAAACAAGCACTGAAGTGCTACTGATCATTAAAACCAGATGGGAGCCCATTTACTGCCTCCAACAGCGAGGTGCCACGGCTGCTCCGCTGAGGCCCCATTGAAACAGGAAACCCAGCGCACCACTGGGGAGGTGCTGGATGGCAGTGGCTCAGGCAGCCCCTGCAATTCAGGCCTGGATTTGTCCCCACTGTCCTTTCACCACCACCCCAGCGACAACCAAGGAGTGACAGAGCTTTTAGTCCTGGCTCCAGAAAGAGTCGCTCCTGCAAGGTTGTGCAAATGCTCTGGTGGGGACAAGCAGCCTGCCCAGGGCCAGTCCCACTGTCCAGGGGAGCTGGGATGGGGAGAATCACAGGGCAAATTGTCCAAGCAGACGCTTGCATTTCAACAGTATTTGTTCAAATGTACAACAGAGAATTACCCCGGGTTCTGGTCACCCCATGCAGTTCAGCTCCTGGACGGTGGATTAGCCAAAGCAGCCCAGGTCTGATCTTACTTCCTTATCAACCAGTGCTGTCTGGCCAAGTACCATGGTGGGAAGAAGCCAGGGGCTATTTCCTCTCTTTCCTAATCAATGCACCCACCCCAGATAAGCATGCAGCAAAAGCACTCCCAAAGACTGGAGCACTGGAAACTGCCCTTCAGAAATGGCTCCATCCTGAGCATGCTAAGCTCAACCCCCTGCCTAGACTGAAGCTTTGCACCTCTGTCTCCAAGTCTGGTCCCCCGTGCAGGGAGCCCCCTCAGCAGCCTGAAACCAGAGCACTGCATGCGGTCAGGGCTGGATTCCCCCCCCACTGCCCCTGAGAGGGGATGCAAATGGTGCAGGAGACTGCTGGAGAAGCAGAGGCAGACAGATGCTTTTACACTTCAAAGGGAGCGGGGCCCTGAGAGGCTTTCAGGAATACGCACAAATCGATAGACTCTTTTTAAACACCAAGCACATTTGCTCAAGTGTGAAGCAATTAATCCCTGAGGATGGAGGCAGGACAGGGCCATTAACAGACATAGGGGCAGGATGAAGCCAGGGATGAGACCCATGCGGCAGGGCTCCACATGGGACTGCCAGCCCAGCCTGAGGAGTTGAGAAACTCCTGTCCTGGCATAGCTTTCTCATCCGTGATTTTCAAAATGCCCTTGTGTCCCCAGGGGCTCTACAGGGAGCACATTGGTGTCATTCACCCTGTGCCAGCGCAGTGCTCAGCATAGCCCTGGTAAACAGGGCAGTTTTGAACACATCCCCTCCACTGCTCCATTGTTCACTAACTGGGGATGCCCAGAAGGATGCAGGAGGGCTGACTTACACTTACCTGGTCTGCAGCAGTCCTCACCTCCCTTCACCTGCATGCTGCTGGGTAGTGCCTGAGTTGCTCTGGACAGCTCTGTCTCCACAGGGCCCCTTCTAGACGGTAAATCAGAGCCAAAACCAGATTGTGGGCGAGCAGAGGGCTGTCTGTCCAGCATGAACAGAGCCAGCAATGGGGATGGACCCCATGGTGTGACAGAAATCAGGCCTGACTCATCCCCTTCTACTCTGCACCACCATTTCCACACAGATCTACCCTTAATGCACCATCTCCCAGCAAGGATGCTGCACAGAGAGAGCCCACATGCCAGCTGCTGTGTTTTCCATGTACAGTCTTATTGTCCAATGAGAGGCAGAGAGACCAAAACTGAGCAATGCTCCATGCCTGGCTGCATGACTGATGGTGTGCCTGTCCTGTAGCGTGAGCCACCTACTCCCATTCGCCTTTGTGGAGGCACAACATTTTCCGTCTTCAATAAAAACAGGAGAGGAAGAAATGAAAATCTCAGCATGTCCCCAAAGAACTGTAGGAGATGGAAATGAAATCCATCCATTACACTCACCAAGCAGGGCGCTGTCTGGACAGGAACACTGTAGTTGTACACCTGCACATCCAAAGGAAACAAATGGAGTATTACAGAAGTGTCAGAGGCAAGCCAGCCCCCTACAGCAAAGCACTTCATGCCATAAACCACACGCACAGGACTTGGAAAAACAAGAAAGGAGCAGTGCTAACCCAAGCTGAGCAGCAAGCCTGTTCCTCACAGCTGCAGCTCCTCTCCTCACCCCTGCACTGAAGGATTGCTGCAGCCTTGGTTAAAATGCCTGACACGGGGGCAGGCCTGGAGACCTGGAGCCTGGGCAGCTCACACCGTGTGCTGGGAGGAGCAGGGGCTGCAGAGGAGAAACGCTTTCCCCACTCTCTTCACTCCATCCTCTGAGCCTGCAACCAGCTGTGTTACCCTCCCTGCGCTCCTCTTGCTCAGGTTTGCTGCAATGTCTCGAAGCCGCACGTAAACCCTAGCACATCCCTGCAAAGCACGACAGTGAGAGCAGCTTACCTGGAGCCGCCGGCCATCAGCACACCTGCTCCTCGCAGCCAGGGGAACCGAGAGCCCTGGAGAAACAGGCAGAAACAGGCACAGCCTGCACAGCCACAACCAACCCGCAGCACAGCAGTGCCCCTGTGCACCGCAGGGGCCCAGCCAGCCTCTGCGTGGGCTTTGGGCAGCATCACCCGCGGCACAGGGGGAAAGTGCAACAGAGCACCCCCATCCCCACACTCTGGGGCAAACCCTTTGTCCCCCTTCCCCAGCTGGCCCCACAGTCTCACCCCCTCTCTGCTCCTGGTCGTTTACAAGGCAAATAGAGGCTGGGTGGGGGAAGCAGGTCAGTGAAGCCACCTGCACCCACACATTTGGCCGCTGATGAGCGAGGAGAGGGGCTGGCAGCTGCTGCAGCTCCCAGGCAGGAGGTATTTGGCTTCGTGCTGGTCCAGCCCCACACGGCAGGAGGCTGCTGTTTGCTGTTGTCAGCCAAATGCTGCATCCCCCCTGCTAAGAGGCTCCGTATGGGATCCCAACCTGGGGCTCAGGAATTAAGTGGCTTTTAAGCTCTGCAATAAATACCCATTTGACCTGAAGAATGTTGTTATTCCTGGAAGGGGGTTTGCACTGCTTGCTTGGATTTGCTTAAGATGACCCAGTACATATGTTAGCCAAGGAAATGCACTGCAGGAGTCTCCTGGGAGGCTCACCAAGGACCAAACAACAGGCACCCCCATGCTGGGCAGTCAAGTCAATCCAAAGGAAGCAACGAGTCCAGCTCAGCCTGGCTGTCCAGCTACAAGGCAATTCAAGTGCCCCAGCCCACCTGGGCCTGGAAACACTGCTCTTCAGAACATCCTCACCCCCCTCGGCAGGCAAGAGGCTTCCCAGGGCCCACCGAGCTCCCGTGGGGACAAGCAGACCCTGCCCCACACCGCACACATGAGCACTTGCTGCTGACACCAGGCGCTGCAGAAGATGCCAGAGAGCGGTGCTCCCTCCCAGACTGCTCTGATGGCAGCAGGCAGTGAGGCTGGCTTTCAGCAGCTGAGCACACCCCAGCACCTGGGAAACAGATAACTCTTAGTGAAACCAGCTGGTGGCTTCTCCAGCAGAACCAGACGGTGACCCGGTGGGTACAGGAGCAGAGACCACATCCTGGGCCAGGCGAGAGGGCTCCTGACCCCCAAGAGGATTTGCCATATCTTTTAAGCAGAGGGAAAGGTGGGTGCTTTGCTGTGCTGCAGGGAAACAGCATCACAGTGCCTCTCCTGAGCCTGCAGCTGCTCTGGGATGTGGCTGTCTGTGGAAGAACCGCAGCAATGGCAAAGAGCATTTTCTTGCCATTCCCATCTGGACCAAAGCAGTGTCAAACAAGGCTTAAGGCTGCAAAAACCATTAGGAAAAACAGAAATAAACCAGGATCTTTATTTCCCATAGGAAATTTACCTAGATCCCATTTATAGATCATTTGCCCTCATCCTTATGTAACTCCTCTGCAGGAGAGGAGCAGAAAACACAGAGAAAATAAACAATTTGCTGCAAAGAATTAGTGCAAGAGTCTGAGTCACATCTAGCGATGCAAGCAGACAACCTGGGGCTCACTGAATACACTGAGAACAATGAACACTGAGATCAACAGCATGTCATGCGTGTACAAACTGGCCTCAGGTAGCATGACTACAGGGGAGCCACTGGTGTGCTCGAAAAAGATGCACAGAAAACACACTTTGGAGTTTATTTTATTGCTCTTAATGGCCCGCCTTCCGCGTGTCTCATCTCCTTTTATTGGAGCTGTCAGAGGCATTACATTATCTCACATGCGTGCAAAACCAGCGTTTCAGTCGAGCTCATACAGAGTTTTAAATGCCACAGCTGAAGACAACAAGACAGTGGGAACTGCAGAGAGAGGAGGCGGCAGCAGAGTCCAGAGCACACACCTACGGGCAAGATTTCCAAAGGCTTCACAAAGCAGCCAAGCCCCAGTCTCTAACCAGAGACAGGCGAGCGAGGAAAGCAAAGGTACCTTTCTAACGAGCCAGATGATTCACTGAGGAAGGGCAAGGAGTCCTGTTGCAACAGAAGGCTGATGAATAATTAATAGCTTGTCCTAGGCACAAGGATGAGTCTTTTACCCGGGTGCAGAGCCATTTGCCAAACCAGCTCTACCAACAGGCCCACGGGGCAGCAGCACTCGCAAGGCTGCTCTGAAGGCTTGACAAGAAGATGACACTCGTATTTGCACAGGAGTTTCTCTGTGCTGCCCAGTTTTCCTCAGTTACTCTTACCACAGTGTGGTTTCCACCCCCATCAGTACCCTGTGACAAAGGGAAATACAATCCAACTTCAAAGATAAAGAAACAGATCTAACCAGGGGGGATGTATTACTCTCCCCTTTCTTGTCAGCATGGCACTTGCAGCAATCACGGCAGGGTACCAGAACTGCCTTGCAGAAAGTACCACCCCTGCACATGGGGCTCAAAGCACCAAACTCCCCAGCCACCTTTCCATCTGGTTTCCAAGATGTGCAGAGCAGTAGTGGCAAAATGAACTACTAATGGTCAAGGACAGAATATTCCTCTAGCCCACAGGCTTTTACAGCTGAGCTGCCTTCACACAGCTGGCATTTGCACAGCAGCAAATCACGATATCCTAGGGTTACAAACAATCTCCTCTGCATTTTTTCCCCTACCAGATTTCTTTTTAGCAAGTTGCTCGTATCCACACGTGTCATGCACAGCACGTATAAATCACTACTGGCCAGGGTGCTGCCAGGGGAGAGGCTAATAGGGTATTACATGCATATACTGTGGTGAAGCCTGACCTTTATTCAAACACCGCACATCTTCACATCCTGTGAAGCTGAGGGGAAGTATTTGGCTGATCTGTATTTGTTATATCTCTTAATTGTGCTACAAAAGCAGTTATCGATGTATGATTTAAATAACAAAGCAGTAATTGTAGTTGAGTTTCACAGATTTGTAGGGCTAATTTTCAAAGTCATTTTAACAATAACAAACATGGCTCAACACCTCTACGCTATGCACATGCGCACTGCTGAGCCGGTACCCAAACAGACACAGCCATTCCTGGTGAATGCACTGGTCACAAACCCAAGCAGGACCGCTCACAGACCACACCGTGCTGCACACACAGAGAGAAAACCATCTGGCATACACGATACATGACACACCTCACTGCCTACTGATGGCTACAGGCCACAGAGCAGCTTATTTAAAGCGTTACAAGAAAACATCCCCTAAATAACACCTAGGAACGTGTCTATTCTCCCTGAGAGGCAAAGAGCCTGTCTCAAACAAGACCCCATTGCCAGGGCCATTCTGCCACTTGGGCAAAGAGGGATGCTCCCCCCTTCTAATATGAAGATGAAAATAAATCCTCTTTGCAAGGCAGCATACGGGCTGCTGAGTGGCAGAACAGCTCCTCCCCACGATGGGGCCACAGAGATGAGGGAGCTGAAACTCCTCTAATAACTGAACCTGGAAGCAGATCCCTACAACCCTCCAGACAGCGAAAGATGACTTTGCTGACCAGCAATGCAGCATGTAGCCCAGTGCCTACAGGGTATTAATTGAAGTATATTCCTGATGAGCAATGCCAGCCTGGTGAGAACTGCCTGTTGACAAAGCTTGCTCAGAGTGTAGCACAATAACTATAAATTATATTCTTGTGGGGCTGCAGGGGGTGGAAGAAGGATGAAAAGGTCACAGTGAAAGATTTCCTTTCCCTTGAAAGGAAGAGATTGAGAGGCACAGCCAGCAGTGCTGTTTGTGGCCCTGTTCCTGACCAGCACAGGCCTTTGTAACCCCCCAGAGCAGCCCCCCACACTCTGAACAACCTCCCTCCACCACCAGCAGAAAGAAAAGTGTTTCACTAACCTCGAATCTAGGGGTGACAGAAGAGGGCACAGGGGACATGCAGACACAACACACAGCCTTGCTGCTGCTTCTCCTGAACGGGACAAACTCTTCCCTGCCTGCACGAGCCACTGCTGCACTCCAGACACACAGGTGTTGCTGTGCATTTTACTCTTGTATGCTGCTGGAAGAAAGGCAAGACTCTAACTTTAGTTTGACTATACTAAGTGAGGAAACTGCTCAAGGGGACACCAGGATTGCTTCTTTTGTTCATCTCTGCAATAATTCTCTACAGCTTTTTGGCCACCTGGACAGTTTACTGAAACTCTTCAGCCTCTCTCTCCTTGCATGCAAGTCCTGGGAGGAAGAGATTTTGGAAACAGCCAAATGTGAGATGAAAACAGGCTGGGTCTGAGAGCTCATCAGCTCTTTAAATATTGCTCTGGAGCTCCTGCAGTTTCCTACTCCTGCTGAAAAACACCCCAATATTGCAGAACACATTTATTCAGCCAGACCCACAGTGCCATGGCCAGGCAGCCATCAGTTTAGCTGTTGCTTGTGAAACATAGCAAGGGTTGTTGAGCAAGGCAACAAGGAAGTCCCACGCTACTGCTTGCAGCAATACCTCTTAGCCTTGTGTATGCAAGGCTTCAAAAGGTCAACACCCCAGAGCAGGTCTGATCTCATTTACAGTTTTCTTTCAGTTTTTTATTGGGAAGGGTCCTCCCAGTTCACCAGCAGGCATAGGGGAACAGAGGGTACTGGCTCCACTCTGCCATGGTCCCATGGGCATGTCCCGGAGCCCCCTGTGTATTGTACTCTGTGGAGAAGGCCGAGTAGCTCATTGCCCTGTACTGGCTGTGGGAAGGCACCATCCACTGGCCAAGGCCTTGCTCGGTGCCATAGGGACTGTACATGGGTGCTCGGGCCCCGGGTTTCCCGACAGAGTCTAGAGCCATGTTCACCACTCCTGTGTAGTCCTGGGGAGGAGGCAGAGGCGGGGGGAGAGGAGGCAGGTTGGTGAAGCCCTCTGGGAGCTGTTTGGAGTCGTGCTCAGGCACTGTGGAGAGATCCAAGGCATGGCACCTTGCCCGGAAGTCGTTCAAGGTTGTGGCATCGCGGGTGGGAAGCTGCTGGCTGTCCCCAGCTTCATGGAACCTGAGCCCCAAGGGCAGAGAGAAGACTGAGTCAAACCTACCGCAGTGGGAAACCACTGAAAACCCACACAGATCCCCTGGGGAAAGGCAGGGCAAGATTTTAGCACGCCTTTTTCCCCTTGCTTACTGCTTCATCTCACTGGTGGTATGGATTTTAGTCCAAGCCTTGATGTCACTTACACAGAAAACCTTAATGCCAGAGGAGGTAAGCCCAGAGTAGGTGAGTTCTGGCTCAGTTCTAGTCTGGGCTCACTATAGCTCATGCCTGAATTTGCAACAATAAGGAGGAGGGAAAAATCACTGGAGTCCTGCCACTCCTCCAACACACTTCCTCCAAAGGACAGGCAAGCTCTGCAGTACAGAGCTGGCTGGGAGAGCATTTCAGGACAAGGAAATAAAATGCATTACAAAGACATGAGTATGCCCAGAATCAGTGGGTTTGAAGTAACACAAAAAGGCTTTGTTGTGGAGCTATCTCCATGCTAATTTAGCACCTATCACCCAGGTATGCTGCCCAACAGAAAGACATCCTTCCCCACTCCCACTGGGTGTTTTTCTTAGGGAATACTCAGTAGAAAAGGAGGAATCCCATCAGTTGAAGTGAGGCTTTGGACATGAGCACCAGGAGGTGGGACTCACCGATATGTCTGGTAGGATGGTGTAGGCACTTGCTGCTCTCTGGCCAGACCCTCCCTCTGGTCAGCGGGCACTGGGGATGCTGCAGGAAAGGCATGGCTGCTGTTCTGCTCTGAGACCCAGAAGGGGTATCCACTGCTGACCACCACGGGGTTACTCTCTTCCTTCACATCCACATTCTCATCTTTCTCAAAATCTGACTCACAGCGGGGAAAAGAAAGAATGGAAAAAAAAATGAGAAGGGGGAAGAGAAAGCCAGAGCTCACAGTGGTTTACTGGCAGCTGCACTGATCGCAGGATGGTGGAAGAAAATGCACTAATGCCTCTTCTGCAGTCATACTGTCTTAAAGTGATTGTCTTAGCACTTTCTAGCTTCCTTCTTTCCTTACACTGTATTCAGTCCTGCTCTGTCCTCTCTCCTTGGTTATGCTACTGCAAGCAGCACTGCGAACTAGAGCAAGGAACGATCAAGCCTAAAAGCAAACTAACAAACAGTCAAGTTGGGGTTTGTTGGTTTTTTGGTTTTTGCTTTGGTTGGTTTTGGGTTTTGGTTTCATTTTGTTTTTTGTTTTTTTTTTAACAGTATCAGTTCCCACATCTGCATCCCAGCCCAGCTGCACAAACACTGCACTGCACTGCTGGCACACTGAGGAGAACCAAGAAAGCAATGGGTGACACTGCAATCTCATGTCACTATTGAAATGTTATGAAAGCACAGCCTACTATCATACATGGTTACAAAGCACAGCCAGGCTGAGAGAGCTGATGAGTCGTCAGTAATGACAAGTGACTTGTGAGAAGTCTCCTGTGGATCAGCCCCAGAATGAGAGTCAGAGGCTCAAAGCCATACACAGCACTCTTTAGGGAGGACTCCACACAGGCCACTCTCCCCACAGAGGGGGCTATGTTGCTATTTCTTTTCCTTCCTGCGGCCCAGGCACTGCTGGAAATCATTCTCTGGGTTTGTTGTGACTAATATTACCACGTTCCTCTGCACCAGACTCCTTTTCCTCAGGTAGCTTCCTCTTCTGGCCCTTGGCTGGACTAGGCTTCTGGCATTTGGCTCGTCCTTCCCTGGAAAGAAACAAGACATGGGGGTAGCTTGTATGAAAGCTGTTTGCCTAGACAAATATGTGAGGGATGCTGGACAAGCCCTGGAAGACAAAAATGGGATGAACCTCTCTGACTCTGTGTACCCTGACAGGCCCATAGGGAATACACTTACCATAGTGGAATTACAGGGTTAGCCATGCTGCCTGCCATCAGTGTATGAGAGCCCTCACCCTGCAGAGTTCTGGGGATACACTGGTGAAGGAGCTCCCTGCTTCATGTTTGTACAAAAGGCACAATCAACACGGAAACTCAGCACCAGAGGTTTTGGCACTGTTTGGAAGTATAGTCCGATGCTGGATATACATGCTATACACATAGGTACAAGTAAAGTAGGGTGGGTCTTCTGCTTGAAAGCAGCTTTTTCCTAACTGTAAAATGAGTCTAAGCTTAGTCAGAAATGATCCTATTAGAGGAGGAAAAAACTCCATGACATTTTCAAAATTTAAGTAAAAAAGACTCAGTTTTGGCCTTTTTCACCAGGAAATGAGATATTTTTCAGGCATAAAGTAATACAAACCAGAACCTAAGACATTTTTGTAACATTTTCTGCTTGGAAAAAAAAAACAGTTTTTTCCTTCTCTACTGCCAATCTATGGTTGCATTTAAGCCTTTTTTTTCTCATCTCATCCACTGGCTGCCCTCAGACAAGACAGAAGATCTCACTGATACTGGTACCCATTTTCCCTCTTGCAGAGAAAAGCTCCTGTTGGAAGAGACACTTTTCCACACATATGGAAAGATGAGGGACCTCCAAATATCAGAATCAAGCTGATCTTAAACAGACTTAGTGATCTGCTGTGGACTCCTGTTATCACTGCCATTCACATGTCAGACTCCAGCCTCGCTCCAATTTGCAAGGGAATGCAGGTCTCATATATTTGTCACACCTCCCACATTTCTGTAGGAAATCCTGCATCTTCTCCCACACCCTAAGTCTCTTGGGAGGAGGCTGCACAGGAGGACATCGTTCCCAGATACAGGCAAGCGCAGTGTGCACAACCCAGCAGGCTCTGCAGAGATAGGTGATCTAGTTTGCTCAATGGTCTTGGGTAAAATTCACAAATGAAGACCGGTTATAAAGAAGAAAAAACAGTTTACCTTCGTGTGTTCTTCCCATGCTCACGGAAACCTTTAGCAAATGGGTTGTTGTCAATCTTGAGCTTTGTAATCTTAAAATAAAAGGAACAAGATTCGGTTTCATGGTGACTGGTTGGGTTATTTACTGTTTTTCAAGACCTTTACATCATTATCTGTCACAAGAGCTTGTCTGAGGGCCCTTGCCACAGTACCTGAGCTCTCCCAGCAGCTCCCATTATTTGTTAGGAACTGACATACAGAGATAAATGACTTTTTGCCAGGCTGGCAGGAATTTGGGTGGGATTCACCTGACTAGGGAAATGTATAGGGTGAGTATCTGTATCTGGACTTTTGCCCATACTTTTTATTTCATTTAGAGTTCTGTTACTCCCTGACAGCACACTTAATACTTAATTAAGGTGCATGATTCATCTCATCACAGAATAGATGTTTTCCACAGGAACCATAATGTGCCTGTTTCTTCCCACTGTCCATTGTAGCCACCCAGGGTGAGTAGCTTGGAAAGAGACACCTCCCCTCTACAAGATTTCTAAGGATAGTATTTAGCAACTTGGCCAAAAGCAGTACTTGCACACTGTACCTGCTCATTCTGGTAGGCAGTAACAGAAGTGAAGACAGTCTCAGGGAAGCTGAAGACCTGGAAGATGCTCCAGCGGACACTGAAGAGGTCATCTGCCTGCACAATGTGGAAGCGAGGCTTGTAACGGTGCATGGAATGCAGGATGATCTGGAGACACAGGAGAAAGTTTCCATGTGCAATCACTGCCAACACACTGTGCAAAGTCTTCTGTGGGGGCTCCCAAGACATTCATTTCAAACCAGGGATGCCTGCCTGTGATTAGTGTCTCTACCATGCCTTTACAGCACAGTAACAGTACAGACTAAAGCCTTCCCTAACAGGTAGTTATGAGGGCACAAGGGCACTTGAATATATTTAGATTTCCACATGATCTAATTTCTCACAAATCTCACTTATGCCCTGTAACATCCATCTGTAATGAATTCCAAGACAGCATAACACACAGCCCAGCTACAACCTACGTGCCCATGTTGATCCAGAGTGTTGTTGGTGAGCTTCAGTTTTTGGAAGGAGACAGGTTCTTTCATCCAGTGGCTGCCAGGAGCTGGGGAATCTGGATGGACATAGGTGCGACAAGGGAGCTGGGGCTCTGCTTTTCCAGCAACTTCCCACTGATCTTTATTCCACTGTGAAGGAAAAAACAAATCTAGAGCTTAAAACAAAAACCTACTTTCATTACAGGGAAACCCCAGCAACTTTGCTTCACTGTCAATTTAGTGGCCTCCTCTGAAGCACAAGTAGCAGATTCTCTTTTAAGAACTATGATCCTGTTAACAAAAGAGCTCCCATTTTAGGCCTCATTCTTCCTCCCTTTGTCCCAGCAGCTGCCAGAGAAGTCTGATATTAATCATGATTAAAATTGTACCACTTAGAGTGAAAATCAGTTACCTTTCCAGCTGCTCCCCCAGCAAAACTGACAAACAAACTCAAGAGAGGGGTAAGATCCACCAATTACTTCTGCACTTTGTTCAAAGACAATTTATGTATCAGCCTGTCCAGTGAAGCATAAAGATTAATCTACTTCTAACAAAGATGGAAGGACAGCATAAATTCTATTATTCAAAGCACTCACCTTGTACCTGAAGTTGTCCATTGGCACAAAATCTACCAGCATGAGGTACTTGGCATAAGGGATTAAGCCAGAGACTTTGATTTTGCATTGTGGAAACATTCGTCTGAAGGAGAAATGAAATGAACAGTATAAGGATTTCTCTATAAAGTGGCTACTGTCTCATGATCAAGAAGCATGTCATGTTTACTCACTACTGTGCAAAGTTCTGGTAGCCATAATTCTACAGGCCACCTACTGAACATTTTTCTATCTAGTCCTATGGGTTTAGGTAGAATAGGCACTAACAGGGCAGCAGTCACTGAAGGCCTGACACTGTCACTGCTTTTGTTCTTCTGATTCCTATAACACAACAGTGGGAAACTTAAAAGAAAATATTGGGAATTTGCACCTAGTTCCGAGCCTTCTGCGGCTATCAGACCTGGAGGATAGATTAGAGCATTTTCTAGCATGGGTAGAAAACGTGCTCTCATATAAGAGCACATCTAGCTTTCTGTTCCAACACTCCCTGCCACCACTTTCATCTTCTGACTCTGCAAAAAAGCTTTGACACCTACCTTCCTATCCAAAGGGATTATTTTAGCTCACAGCAGCTTTGACATACTACATTACAATCTCACAACTTCGTATTCTTTCACTGCAAGCTCCACAATGCATGACTCATTTGAATTTCAGACGAGTCTGCACGCACAGATCATTACTATTCTACACCATGTTCTTGTCTGCAAATGCAGCCTCAAACGCAGGTATTTACTGCCCAACTCCTGCTGCCTGTGACTGAGGCAAAAGAAGCCCAGGGCACCATCCTGAGCAACCATCTAGGGACAGGAAGAACATCAGTGTTAAGTGGCGAGATAAGAGTACAGAAGTTTTCTCAGCACATCAGCCACACAGTGACCTTTTGCACTTCACAGTTTGGACTTCTATGACATCCTTGAAAGCACAAATCCTCTGTCAGGGCCAGGGAGATGTGCACGGTTAGCTACAAAACTAGTCAAAGGGCTACCATTCCAAACATGAGATTTTGACAACAGCCTGCAGAGCTGTGGTATGGACAGCTGTCCTGCTCCCCTCACCTGCCCGATTTGGTGATGATCATCTCAGTTCCTATCTGATGAAACTTCATCCAGAGATCCATGTCCTCAAGGGTGACCACAATGGAGCTCTGTGGGTAGTGCTCCAGGCTGGGGGAAGGAAGGGCCTCACATGGCACTTTCATGTCTACCAAGAGAGGGAGAAAACAGTAACTTCAGATGGGCAGGAGGAAAGATGACACAAAACAGCTTCTGCTCAGGGCGAGGGCCCTGAGACACAACACCCACATCAGCCCTCCCAGTATCCCCCAGTGCCAGCTCCCTGAATTTCACACACTGTTGTAAGATGGGGTCTGTGCCTCTGTCCATCACTCTTCCTGTCTGGCTGCAGTACATCTCAGCCCCAAACTACTGTGCAGTGCACCACACTGGTTCAGCTCAGGGAGCTGAATGCCATGATTTTACCCATGAAGATTCCAGGTGCTGCAAAGAAGTAGAGAGTCTGCACCACAACGAACCTCTTACAGAAAAGCCATTATGTTTTATCTAAGCTTTTTTGTTATTTAGCAGGCTCAGAAGGCAAAAAGGCTTCTCCAGCAGGTTTGGGTTTAGCTGATAAATTATTTTGTAAAGATTTATGTGTTGCAAAAACTCAACCTGACTTTACTTAGTTCCAAAACTCACACTGGCAGGCAGCCATAATCCACTTTCATTCCTGATCAGGGCTCCACAAAACACTTTACCAAGAGAACAGAACGAATGATGAAAGGATTGAAGATTTTAAGTGTACCGGTGGGTAATGGGAGAAAATGACAGGTAGGTGGTAGCAGAGGTGAAAAATCTCTCCAGAGGACAAAGAAGGGAGAGACAGGAGACCGGAATCTAAGTGAGGGCAAGGAGAAAGGGAGGTGACAGAGCCAGACCACGGAACATTCTGAAAAGAGGAAGGCTGGTCTGAGCTGGACTTGGAGATGGAGACCACTGAGGAGCCTGTGACATTGGTGGAAGGTGCCTCTTCAGTAACACATCACGGCACTTCAGAAGTGCTGCCTGCAATATGCCTGCACGTTCTACTTCAGGCAGAGGACTATGATCCTTGGAAAGAGGAAGGGAAACTATTCTGGAGGAACATTTTGGTGCTGGTGGCACCTACCACCTCTGTAACGCTGTCTGGATCTAAAACCTCCTATAGGCATTCTTAACTGTATTGTAACACACACAAGATTGCTGCTGCCACGGTTTAATTTTAGGTGAAAACATGACCTGGTATAGCCACTGATGGTTTGATTTCATACCCAGCAGGGCTTCACAAACACTGCCCTGCGGTCCCAGCCACGTACTGATAAGCCTGCTGGACACAGGGACGCTCAGAGCAGCAGTGCTGTGCTCACTGCAGTGCCAGCAGGCCACTTATGCTGGGTGAGGTGTTAAAAGCCGTGCACCGCTATTTGTGTAAAAGAGAGACACTTTTCTGCCTCTCAGCCTGATGAGATCTTATTCAGAACATAACAGAAATAAGGGAATTTTCACCTTGTTACAGCTTTTCTGAGTAACATCTTCAAAAGAACAAGCATGAAAAGTAGACAACTCTTTCCAGAGAAATCAGCTTTTGTTCAGGAAGCAGTATCTTTCCACAAAAACAACCCAGTGTGAGTCTTAGGGGCTCTTTCAGAAGTAAAAAAAATATTTAAGAAGTTAAAAAAAAAAACAACAAAACCATTTAAATGTAATTTTGTCAGTTTGTAAAGGTCTTTAGGCATTTAAAAAAATATATCCTCTACCCTTTTTTTCTGCTTTGATCCAACATTAATGAACTGGCTAAGAAGTGACACCTAGTTTGCTCACCAAGATTAGCTTGTTAACATCTTCTTACTAAAGCTTCCCCCATATCCTCTTGCAAAGACATGAAAGCTGCCATGAGACGATGCATTCAGTAGCTCAATGCAGCACATGTATCAAAAGGAGTTACAATAAAATTGGGCTGATTTCCCACAGGAGTCATCCAGTCACAGATACATGCAAACAGATTTTGCTTAGCTAGACAGATGCTCGCTCCTTCCCCAGATGAATTGCAGCATTAAGTTTTTGTAAGCAAATTCCAGTGCCATTAAATGAGTCCTTATTGAGGGGAGACTTTCGATGAACTCAAGGGGAATTGAAATGAAAGGAGTTCAATACTGAATTAAAAATCAAAAGGCAGATGTTATAATCTGTTTTTTTTTTACCAGAATGAATCCACAATTCACCTGTATGAGCGAAATACTACAGCAGACAGGACAAAAGAGCTGCACATACAATAAACACTGCAACAAAGATCCTGAAATGCAGTTAATGTCTTCTGCCCTTCAGGTTTTGTGTGCAGTCTGAGGCTGAAAAACAGGACATTAACAGTTTGCATGGGATCTGGACCCCAGCAGTGGTGTGAGCTTGCTAATGGATCCACACAGCTGGCTACACACTCATGTGCAATTGGCTTCAGCAGGATTCTGCAGCGACAGATCCATTTGTAGGATCCACTCTGGATTTTCTTTGCACAGCCAGAGGCTGGCTTGCAAGGCACTTCAAATTCACTCCTACTTTGCGCCTATGTAACTAATGGCAAGACTCACACACACATCTCCCCCACAATGATGCCTGTATGTTGGAATTACAGCAAAAAAAGGTTTGTGGCAGGGTGTCCAAGCACTGAACCGAACTTGTTAAAGCTGTACTTTTATTGTTTCCTCTTCTCTGTAACTCAGCTTTTATTTTAAGTACTATTTGAAAGAGATTTAAATATTTTGCAAGAATTTCAGATCTATTTTAAAAGCATTATTATTATAATTGTCGTGTCACTGCATGTGGCACACTTTAAAACATATTCCTTATGCCAAGATGAGGTTGAAAAAGAAGACTGCTGCTGTAACAAAGACACTGAAAATTAAGTGATCTTTAATGTCTTCCATGCTTAATTTTAAGTCCTTATGCAAATATGAGCAGCTTGTCCTTCAGTTTCTGCATCTAGGCTGTGCATATCTCTTTCCTGTCTTGGAGGTGAAGAGAAAAAGAAATGAGAGACAATTTGGTAATGCTTGCAGGGGGAATAAGATCTCTGGATAGGAGATGCTGGAGTATAATCCACTCACCTAAAGCAGCCCCTCAGTTAATTGTCAATAACTGGGACAATGTTACATCAGAAAATTTGTTGCAGCCTACCAAAACTATATGGGTTGGGGTTTGCAATAGTGGGAAAACTCCAACAAGGCAAAAGGTATGCTGCTTACCTTCACTAAAACCAGTTATTGTTACATTTGTTGCTGTTATCTTCTGAGTGAGGAAGTCACTGACAGCTATGCAGTGTCCACAGGGAAGAACTGCACATCAATATATAAAGCTAGCTGAGAAACTAATCTCGCCAACAACCAAAAAACACGCCATGCTCTCTCATCTTATAAATAAAGACACCCCAACCCTCTGGAGGGAGCCTCATTTCTCAGAAAGCATTTTGGCAGTAACCAAAGTATGGTGCTTCTACGAATACAATTGTTTCACCTCTCAAATGCACCCAGTCATCACCTTGAATATTTCTGCCTTATGGGGTCTTACACCAGAAACAACTCAGTAAGAAAATGAGGCGACTTCTGCAATAGTTGCAACCTTTAACAGGGTAGAATACCATAATACAGTTTATATTTTTCATTGTTGCTTATTTGCTTTTCAACTCAAAATTCTTTTGAAGTGGCAGGAATCATTAGGAATCAGATCAACACAGTGTGGACTGCTTTATAAAAACCCAAAACAACAGTAACGATGGAAATTATCTGATGCGTTTTGCTTAGGACTGACACAACACCTTGCAGAGGTAGAGAAATGAAGTTGAGAACAGCCAGCCAACTCTAACATACGCATACAATCTAGGTTTTCCAATGCCTATCTGTTACTGCGGCCAGCCTGATCATGCCACACACAGAAGAGGTTAACAGCATGTTATGAAATGGACTGACGAAGAAAAACATAAAGAAAACCCTAAGGAAATCGGGAAAATCCTGTGTTTGGGCATGAACCTGGCAGAGGGGGGTATGCCTGCTTTCAAAGCGCAGAGAAAAAAAACAAAAGAAAAAGCAAATAGTTTGCATCAGAACCATTACTTGCACTATAACAAGTATTTCCAAACCTTCTGTGGCCTTCAACTTGAAGGAACTCAAAGTACTTTGCAGACGACATACAGGTAACACCTCTAACCTTCAGTGAACAATCACTGTGACACAGACAAGTGAGTTTTGGGCACAACTGTGAGTAAACCTTCACTACCTTCTGAAAGGTCTTTCAAAGCTCACAAATAACTCTCAAACCCACAATTTCTCATCCATTCCTACCAAAACCACCCATTTTATAAATCCTCTCCAGCCACACACACTACTATAAATGCTGGTATTGCTTCAGGAGCACTTGTTCTCTCTCTAAAATTACTGTGCACACTTGGCATAAGTCTAGGACCTTTCCACATAATAAGAAAAAGGAGGGAGTCCTTTACTTACCTGGTAAAGCTTGCATTTTGCCATGTACTGTGGAGTCTAGGAGCTTGCACGGCCAGGAGAGACAGCAAAGTTCTTACAAGGGGTGCCAAAATAGTCCAGTTCAAAAGCAGGTCTGACTTCCTGAAATAAGCAAAAGCCCTTCCTTCTGAGATCCAGTGTCAAGAGTGACCAGGATGAGGATGGGACTCCAAGCACAGCTAGCCAAGGTGAGTTCCTGTTTTATGGAGGCTAATGATCAGGGAGGAGCTTCTGGCCAGGGCTGTCCCCTTGCGATCCTTTGATGTCCAAAGGGACAAAGAGAGGAAGGATCTGCAGCAATGGCTGGGGCTAAGGGAAGAAAATCAAAGAGAATTAACATGGCTTTGACATACAGGAAACCCTACAGGGGAAATGCACTTTGATTTACTGCTAACGAACTTTTAAACAAATAGAGAGAAGACCAAAACCATCAGTTGAAGACTTACCTATAAAATGAAAAAAAAAAGTCTATCCCTTAAGCAGCAAGCAGGAAAAAAATTCCTTCTGGCTAGTCCATGGATTTAATATAAATTTCATTGCCAAAGCACAGAATAACTCTTGATTTCTGGTATCAGAATCAGGACTGTATTGAGCTTGTTCCTTCCCAAGTGGGTGATTAAGTCTGTGGTAAAGTTTGCTCTCACAACTGGGATGCTGCAGCAACGCCTTCACTCACCAACAGATGCCTTCTCCACTAACACAAACACGTTTGATGATACAACATTACTTACCTACCCAGTCTCTGCATTCACAGCCCCTGACTGCACGGTTGATTTTCCTACTGCACTGTTTTCCTACAGCAGGGCACTGCACCACATCTGTTCTGAAGCTCAGGACTGAGGCTGCTCTATATGCAGTAACTTTTCAGCTCAGCCCTGCTAGGGTATCATTTTCCTGGCACCCAACTCCTCCGGCTGGCACCTTTCAGGGCTAATGCACGATTCAAAAGTCTCACAGTGGGCCAGGCACTGGTTTTAGACCTTGTTCAAGGTGTTGCTCTTACTGAAGGAAGGCTGAGCAGAAACTGAAGGACTTGAACGTTTTCCCTTAATTAGTTTATTCTGTAAGTGTGACCATTAGCTTTTGTACTTATAAGTGCTGACAAGTGCTAAGAGACAGCAATCAAGTCTCCTGCTTCAGGGCACAAAACAGCCACTACCCTGGGTTAAGACCATGTTCTATGCATTCACATACAGAAATGGCTATACTAACATTTACAGGTGGATGATGTTCAAAAGCTGGCAGTCAAAAGCAGGGTATCAGTCTCAATGGGCCAGTGTTGGATCCTGCACAGCAAATTTAGGAGCTTGCTGTAAAGCTGCAGCTGATTCCCTCTAGTTTTGCTTCCAATAAACATTTTTTGTCAGTGACATGTAAAACATACTCTGAATTTATTTAGTCAGATCCTATACCCAAACAACATCCCTTTCGTTCTGTTTTTACTGCCTTTTGGAGCAGGCAATGCAAGGACGGGCAAAGAGAACAAAGGAGTTCAATCAGAAGAGGGACTGGCTCTCTTTCAGTAGTATGCTGAATTCCAGGCATCCCAGTACAAGCAGAGAGGGAAAAGCCAGTGCTTAGGATGACAAGGAAGAACACGTAAAAAAAAAATAGGTTAGAGATTTTCAGAAGTCCTGAGGAGGATTTTATAGCAGGAGATGGTCCATCGGCTCCTGGCACCTGTGAAGAACCACATCCACCCTCCCCGACATCCCTTTAAAACTACTGGGTAATACAGAAGACCACAGGCTCTTCTCTTTCAGCTAACTTAGGGTCATCCAGAGCCAAGGAGCCTCAGTACCACTGAGGAGAGAACTATCATGTGTTGGAAGAACACCAACTTATAGCTCAACTGGAGATAATTTATTACATTCTGGAAATGTAAATAGGAAAGGAAAAGGTGAGCTGAACACAGTATAAAGGTCAAATCTCCTCTGCTTGTACTTGCACTGCTACTACCAAACAAAAACAAAACAGGATGCAGAAATGCTTTTCTGCTCTGTAACAAAGGGAAAGCCAGCATCAAATCTGCCCCCCACCATGTCCTGCTTCTCTAATGCTAGTATTTTAATTTCAGAATGTCAAAAAGACAACCATGATCAGAATCTGAGAAGAAAAAATAGAACAAAAATTGGGTCAGATTCACGCTAGCAGCGATGGATCAACATCCCACACAGTTAGAAACTGCACAACAGCAGCAGCACTGGCAATTTCAGACTCTCCACCTGACAAGAGCGTGGGATGTGTATCATGACATACTGCTTCTTCCAGGAAGAGGTATGAGATGGTCTCCTGCTGCCACTTCATTTGCACACTGCCTATCAGCATGTCTAGAGAACACACATTTGCTGCAAGTACTCAAATCCTTTTGGCTTTCCCCAGCTGATTGATGGGGAAGGTGGAGTCATTAATTACCCATGACCAGTTAACAACTAGCTTTCTCCCAGTCATTCCAGTTGCACTGGAAAGGTTTTAAAAGTGGGGACAAAAAAAAAAGTGAATTTGTTACTACTGTTAGCCACTGGAAAGCGTGGCTAACAGGAGCAATCCCCAGGAAATTAATCACTAAATTAATCACTAGCAAAGGGGGAATTTAGCACATTACTCTGTCCATGGAGTGCCCTCAGGCAGTCTGCCGGAAAGCCAGAGGTGAATGTGTTGGTGTCTAACAATTCACTGGCAAATTGGAGGCTGGGGGTGTGGAAAGGGATGGGAGAGATAGTGGATCTGACATGTGTAAGTCAGTGACATACACAGGTCTGCTCCAAGCTCATTTACAGCAGCAGGTAAAAATCCTGCTGTGCCTAGCTCTAACTGTAGGCTCTCCCCCTGTGCTGAAAGGGATGAAGTAGGGCAGCGCAGAAGGGAGGGGATGTGTGATGACAAAAGCAGAGGCCACGAAGTTTTGCTTTGCATCTCTTTGAGGAGGTGATTGGAAAGAAACATTCCCCTCTGGGTTTCGTAGTAAGGCAAATGTTTTCTGGCACTTTTCTCACCTTAAGGGAAGCTTTAACCCTTAACACTCAACGGGACCCTATAGGGTACTGATCTGTGCATATCCTCCTAGCTCTGGGTGATGATCTCACCATCTCTGGCTGGTGTCTGGGGCTCTCAGACCCAGAACAGATAACGTGTCAGCTTGCAGGAGGCTCAGGATCTGAGTCTGCAAGCGGCTGCGCAGGATGCCCCACCATCTCTGTCCAGCAGAAATTCCAGGACAATTCCAGGATATTCTGCCTGAGAGCAAGCTCAGGTGTGAGGCATGAAGCTATTGGGAGACTGCTGAAATGCAAGAATAGTCTTTGGAAAGAAACAGTCTTGGATTATTGCTCATGTATACCAGCACTTGGTGCAGTAGCCAGTAATCCAGCCCCTGCAGCTTCCCTCTGAGCACAGGGTTGTGAGGAAGCATTTCTGTGTCAGCTTTAATAAAACTATGATTAAGTGAAGCAGTGTTGTTCGCCTGAGTTTGCACAAGGAAGAGAAAGTAACGTGGAGAAGTGCAAACTGCACTGAAGATAAACTCCCCTCCAAACATGAGGATAGGCTTACCGCCATTTAAAAGTGACTCATTTAGCAGATTCCCACCTGGCACACATAGGCCACAGTCCCAGAGCATCCTAGCAACTCTTTATGAAGGATACTCTGCCATCTGCAACATGACAAATACTGAAAATGTGGAAAGACAGCATGTCATTAACAGACCAAAACAAAGTCGATAGCCCTACACTATAGCTACTTACTTTCATACTTAAAAACATGAAGCAACCTCAAACTCTCCATAAGGCTGCAGAATCCACCAACCTGCCCCTTAAATACAGTGTCAGCTTGCTGCAGAGTAAATGGGGCCTGATTACACACACAGGGCCATGGGGAAAAGCCATGTTTTCCAGAGAAAAGGCCTGATGAAACTATTGCTCCTAGGCCCATGTCAGCCTTGAAGCATGTGACTGCTTGTAAGTGACCAACATCTCACACAGAAGAAAAGGAAATCAAAGTGCAGCTCCTCAGACAGCATGGAGCTGACCAAGGGAGTGGAGTAGCTAAGCTCTGGCAGCATGGGCACGGCCTGAATTTGAGCAGCTTTATGAATAAGTCTCTATGGGTGACTACAGGAATGATAAAAGCCTACAGAGTGGTTTGAGATCCTCTGAAGAAGCAGTAGTACATGTAATTTCCCATCATGCGATTGCATAAGGAACAGTTCCTACCCAGTTCCTTACAGCAGCTCACACAACACAGCATTTTCTTCTGATGGTGGGAAATGGCACCTTTTCCCTTCTCTTTATGGCTGGATTTGATAGCTTTTAATCTGGGAAAAGTCGTCTGGTGTCTTCAGGCATGTTCCACGTGCACTGTCGTGCAGATGTTCCTACCCTGGGAACACGCAGAAGGCAGACCTCAGGAGGGATGAAAACCCCATGCTGAGCCCCAAATTGTATCACCCTCAAATCTGCCCTGTGCTCTCAAAAAGCAAAAATCACATTTGGCAAAACAAAACGGTTGGAGAGGGCCTCTTGGTAGCAGCTCAACGCTAATTCACCACAGGATCCCTGGACCCAGGCACACTGTGCTGTGGGGACCAGCCACATGCCTCTGCCCGCTCCAAGGAGCTGCATTCCGGCAGCGAGGGGTCTGTTCTGGAAGGGAATGTGTGAAAGTGGCTCATGTAAATGGAAAGTTGTACATTATGAGTTTAACACAAGGCTTTTCCTCTTGTGGATTGAAGTATCTGGCCACAAAGCCCTGCTCCTGAACTAAAGAGGACACTCTTCTGTCTTCCCCTTTATCATATCCGCCCTCCCGCAGCCCTGCTGGAATATGCACCCTTCTCCCAGCAGTCAGTTAGCATTAGGACAAGAAGGGAAATACTTAGCAGCCACTTAACACTGAAGACTGAGTTTGGCCTCAAAGGCCACAGTCCAGAGTCAAATGCAAAATATTTCTGTCTAGAGCTCTTTCAAGTTTTCACAGACTCCTGATGTTAGGTGCACTGCTTTCCTGTCAGCTCATTGTGTTTCCCAGACAGGGCTCAGCACCGTCCCACTCAAATCCACAAAAAATACATACTGAAAGGACTTTACAGTAGCAAGAGCCACACAGCACAGGAAAGGGCCACCAAGCAGCACCGTGTAAGTAAGCTCTGCCTTTCCTCTCCTGCACGGGGAAGGCTCTCTTCCTCCCCGCACCTGGGGAGACAGCAACCCTGCCAGAACCCACCGTTCTCCAGCAGGAGCCATAAAGGACCTGCCTTAGAAAACAGGCAGCAAATAGCTCTGCTTTAACATCCATACAGAAGTACTTCGATATTTATACACATGTGCATACACTCATATGCAAATGTACATGAACTGACATCATCAGTCACAGCCACACTTTTCCCTGTAATCCCTAATCTGCCCAGATTTTTTACCTCCCCATTCTTCTTATACAGGCAAATTACTCATACTCATTCTTTGTTGCAGTCACAGGCCAGGGTACAAGCTCCAGGCAGGATCACAGACCCACGGCTCCCTCCCCCTACCCAGTGAAATGTTTATGGCCTGGCTCTTATGGCTGTAGAGGTGCTGAATGGCCTTTTCCCCCCTCCAAGTCTCAACTCCTGATGGGCAGCTACAGACCAGCTTTTAGCCGGTTTGGTCCATAGTTGTGGATTTTATTGCCCAGTTTGTCTCTTCAACCCACATTTGTAAGCTCAAGAGTAGATTTTTCCCTGGGTAACACTCTGCAGCTCAAAGAACTCTTCTTGTTTTTATTACATCCTTAGTGATTAAAGGGATATTTAAACCTCACAATGCTCCCTGCTGTGAATATAAAAGCCCACCATCATTTTGGATAGATGTGTTTAGAAAAATAAATTAAAAATTAGCCCTACTACAGTGGACAAATGCTTCTAAGTTGTTAAGAACATCAGGCACTTGAATAATTTAAATAAATCAGTTGCAACTCCTTAAGAAACCAAGGGAGGACACACAGTTTCGAGGTATCTGAACAGTTATACAGGCAGTTCCACAGGGACTGAGGACAACAGAGGTATGCAATGACTGCATTATACTTAAAATACTGGATTTCATCTACTTAGGCACAAAAGACTTTGATTTCTTCTCCTCTCTCACCTAGTGGTCATTCACAGAATAGGTACCATTCTTCAAAACACAGTCTTTGCTTTTGTGATGGCAAAACTGTTTTAAATGACTGGTACTTTACAACCTAAGCTATGCCTGCCAACCAAACGCAGATACAAACAACAATACAATGTAAATTCAACAGAGATATTTAAATTCTGCTAAGGGTGCAGGGGAGTGTGCAGGAGGAAATCCAGGTCACATCTGAGAGCAAGCATTCCTTCTGAGCACGGCTTCGATGGTTATCAATAATGAAGTCACTGCTTTTGCCACCCTCTAATCCTGTAGTTAATGGTTTAAGCTTCTGCAGGGAGCTACTGCTGGGGTAGGATTCGGTGAGAGTTAAGTCTACGTGCAATGCAGGCCTGGACTCACCACCAGGGAGCTCACAGCACTCCTCACTGCGATCTTGCTTCACTGTTTGGTGCTGCTCAGTTTCTTCCTCTTAATACAAAGTAAAAAACTAACCCAGCCAGATTATCACAGGGCACAAGGAACCCTCACACTTGTGCATTTACTACAACATACACCTGTGGCCCATCCTGAGCTCTCACTGACGCTTTTCTCACAATTAAGGCATTTAAAAAGGAGATTTCCTGTTTGGATTCTCTGTTGTCTACTATTATCTTAACTCACATTGCAGCCATTCCCTCAGACAGAGCATTTTCAGGAAACCCATAGGACCTAACTCATCTGTGTGACTTCTGTACTTCCGCCCAGTTGGGCTGAAATTGGGAGACTGGGTTAAAGATTTATTAGGAGAGAAAAACAGGCAGCAAGCTAAGATCAAGAAAGTCTTTAGATACATTTCACATATACTTGTTAAGGACTGCTTATGACAGGACAATTCAGCATTTAATTTTCCTGCCTCTTCACAATGTTCCTGACATATGAATTCTGGGTGATCAAGAGCTAACCTGAAGCAATCTCAAAAGAATAAAGGTTGAGAATACTCACTGTACTCTGGGGAATATCCCACTACAATGATCTGAGGTTTCAAAGGCTTCTACTGGACAAAGCTGTAGCAAAATTCTAGGGGCTTTTATTATGTCTAAAGTAAGAAAAATAATCAATTACACTAATTGTGTATGTATTCTAATTTAAATTAACTTAAACGGTACACACTCTAACTTAATGGCGTTAGAGTCCAAACAATCTCTCTCTCCCTGCTTATGAACATTTTGCATTGAGAGATGTTCTTTTGTTGCGTGCAAAGTAAAAAACATATGGAGTGAAAAAACCAGGAGATTAGGAAGGTCACCTTGGAACTGTGATAGGCTGTCATGGCCACAAAAATCTCTTCTAGAAATGTAAAGGCAGCTACAGTGCTCCAGGGTAAGGTGCACGCATCCATGCTGGTCAGCACCACATGGAACCTGGCTTGGTATTTGTGCACAAAGTGCAAAATTATCTGGGGCCAAAGACAACACAAGCAGTCAGGAGGACCAGACAATGGCATCAAACCTGCTTGCATCCCTGTAGGCACTTACGGCTTTAGAGAATTTGCTAGTATTGTACTTCATTTTCAAGTAACTGCTCATGGACCAGAGGGAGCCTGCCTACCAGATGTAAAGAGCACTTGTGCTCTCCAGGACAGGGTAAAGAAGCTATGACAGCACTTCGGGAGGACTGGTTCAGATTATCAGAAACCTGAGGCAAAAATCTGAAATCTAAACCCATTCATGGTCCCCCATTCTGTCTTTCTGACTTGTCTTTTATTTCCTCTCCAGGATGGAACTACTCCTTTTCCTCCCCTCACATCTTATTGCCAAGGAGTTGTTCAAGGGAGGAATTGCTGACTTCTGTGGTTCCTTGCCCCCACCTCTATGTTTATGAGAATAATTTAATCTTTTCTTTTGACAACAGTAACGTTCAGCCATATCCACCTATAAAAAACCATGGTAATACTAAAGAGGGCACAATACAGAGATAGTTCAGATGATTTTCTGCAGTAAGTGTGATGCTTTTGTTTTCAACAAGGAAACAAAAGCAGCCAAATATAACCACAGGATGCATATGGAAAAATAGCATATAGTTAAGCAGGAAAGTGGCAGGGCTTCTTTGTTAGTCTGCTATAAAACAAACTGGTAAAACTACATGTAATTCTTATCACCTCATTATCAAAGCTACTGGGGAACTGGAGGGAGACTGGATGAATTGAACATCAGAAAAGATTAGAAGAGTTGTTAAATAAAGCTTTCTTGACTGATGGTTCTGTGCACAAAGAAGAAATGAACATGTCTGCAGGGTGTAAACATACACATGACAGAGGAATTAATATGCTACAAAAGGATATAATTATCTTCATTAGTAGGGATGAAAATGAGATAGAAGCAATTTGAGAATCCAGAAAAAAAAGTACCAGCTGTGCAATGGCAGACTGTTCACAGAAGTAACAGGCAAAACCCTTATTGTATTAGACTTTTAAATGATTTCTGCACAAACCAGTGGTACTGCAGAGAACAATCTTGCCTTCACATGAGCAGCAAAGAAAGGTCTGAGATACCTGCTTATCTCTTATTCCTATGATTCTTCAAACAGATACTAAATTAATTCTAGGACCACAAAGAAAAATGTACGTTCTACGGGCATATGAACAGACTGCTTCCCAGGGCAATGTAATCAGGGCTTACTTATACACTGTGGATTACAGCACTACACATTCAATACAGATTCAAGAAGAGGAAAATGTCCAGGCTTCTCTTAAATGATCATACTGCTTCAGAGCTTTATTGGTGATCTTAATTATCTGTAAGGAGACTGTTTCTCTCTTCAGTGACTCCTAAGAGCTGGAGAATCTGGGTGAAGTGTCTGGGGAAAAGGGGATGAGCCTTTGCAACAGTTTCTCACCTGTAGTGGGCATTGTCTAAGATATGATGTTCATCAGCATTGGGGAGGTAGAGTAAAGGTCTAGGCCTGAAGCTATAGCTGCAAGGAGGGAACGTGTCTGCACAGCAGGAGAGAGCAGAACTGAGCGTTGTTACTTCAGGGTTGGTACTAGAACTTACCTAGTGCTTCCAGGAGAAGCAAAAAAGTGCAACTGCCAATGGAACATGCTGGACATGAACACAGCACACAGTTTTCCCCTCTACCCACTCTGTTCATCCTCATTTGTCTCTTGAAACAGTAGCTCTGCTGCTCCTCTGAGATTATTTGCTTAACCAGTCCATCAATACATTTCAAAGCTGCCCAAGTTTGCTCCAGAGCTGAAACACTCATCATCCCAAAAGGAGTCAGAGTGGAAATCAAGTGAAACATGAAAAGAAAGAATCTTTCATGCTCAAGTTTGAACCTCAATAACTCTTAGTAGTGGTTATGCCTGCCTTTTGTTCAGCATCTTGATGATGGAGAGCTAGTGTCTAATAACAGGAAATAAACTAGAGCAATCATGCTACATTTTCCCCACAAGATTACCTGCTAAATGCTTAGATCTCATAGCATATACGCAACTACTTTACTACAGTCTGAGGTGATAAAATTATGAGCATATTAGGTGACTCAGAAGATGGACCACTTTCTCCTACCTGCCACTGTCACTGGTGTCCCCTGCTGTTGGCCAAAGCTGCAGCCGTCACAAGGCTGGGGACTGTTTTGGCACTAGAACTGTGAGCCATCTACAGACAGGTTTCCTGAAGAACCCTAGAGCAGAAATGCAGAAGGGCTCCATAACTCCTGTTCTTCTGAAGAGCTGTCTCTTACTGGTTCAGGAGATCCTCTGTTCTTCCAAAAGATTAAAAAAAGAAATGGGTATATGGGGGAAAAGTGTCTGTAAAAATGAGGGTAGAACGAAAGAAGGGAAAAAACGAAAGATGGGGGGCATGCTTTTGCCATTGGTATCTTTTTTGCTGGGCTCAGGGGCCTGACATCAGCTTTTGTACCCAGCTGAGGATCTACAAAAATAAAATCCTGCATTTCTACACATCATAAATCACAAAAGACTCCTAAGAGAGGTGTGAGTATGACTGCAACCTGAATGTTGCTGAGCCTGGCAGAGCATTCCTCTTCCCCACTCCTAGGCCTAGGCAAGAGTCATGGGAAAGGTGACAAGTTATTGAGCCACTGGGCTTCATTTCCCAAGAAAAGCCTTTTAGTGACAATGAAAATACACTAAAGCCGTCAGCCACTGTGTATGGGCTGACAAAAGATTGATCCATGGATAAAAAGCAATTTCTCTTGCATTCTAAAGCACAAAGTTTAGTAGCTGTTTAGTAGCTGTTATCTTCTCTGCTTTCAGAGAGCTTCAAAGAGCTCTCAAGGGACTGAAAATGACTACAGTGTACACAAACACTGTCCACTTAGTTTAACATATGCACAGTGTTCACAATTCACCAAGTCATCTTCCACGTCCTAACAATTCCTGTCATAGGCAGCTCCTCGCTCCTTCCATCACAACTTTCTTTTCTACCTCTTGTTACTCAAGAGCAGTGCAGAAACAGAACATTCCCTACACTGAAACATCTTCTTTGAGGAATCCAACCCAGGGCTGTTCTGGGGATGGACAATACCTCCCTCTCTTTTGTTTCAGCCCTAATGTTCACGAAAGTGCCAAATTCAGCTCTGCAAACTGCATTTTTTTTCAGGTCTGGTAGAGGCAGTGGGTATGTCTAATGGATTCTGGAGAGGGATACGTCTGTCTTTGCCTGGTGAGGTCAAGCTTTAGATTGACTTCCCACCTTTCGAAACCTGTGTTATGGTCTCTGATTCATAGAAATGCAGCAAACCCACTGACCAGTTGATTAAAGGTGACTGGAGAGAAGCAAAATTCACATAATGGGGTATTTAGGAAGGGAACTCATCAGGTTCTGTTCTGGTTAAGCACTTACTGCCCGAGTTTTTTCTTGCCTGAAGACAAATGAAAATATACTTGCAGAAATACAGGTTCTTTTCCCATTTGCAACCAGGAGAAGGAAGCTCATAATAAACAAAATCATTACTGTTACCTGCATGTCCTAACTGACCAGCTCTGGCTTCTGTAATGCAGCCATTGTCAGTGGTTTTGTGACACAAGAAATTATAGTTGCTATGCAACATCCACATCAGCTACTTGTCTCCTGCATTAGGTGAGACGGTGACAATGAGCCTAGAATGGAATTACCACAGTTAAAAGTTTTCTGACTAGCCTGGTCTCACAATTTGTTTGCCAGCCTCGAAGTTAAAACTGAAACTTGCATCTTACTAACACTGTACTCAGCAACATACTGAAGGTATTTAAGCCTCAGTCTATTTCTATTCTCAGAGATGAAAGTTATGCTAATGGCTGAAGCTAGTATGGGAGGCAATTATTCTCGAGTTAACTCTGCTCAGGCTGAAGAACCCTGGGTTTCCTGAAGGCAGTTCTGTCCCAGCTTTTCCAGAAGGTCTTCTTCAGAAATGGAATTAGGTCCTCAAGAGAGATGTCATTTAAACGTATTTGCCAGTATGAGGCCATCTTAAATAAACCTTAGCGTACTTGGGCTCTCATTCCATGTTTAGCCAAACAATGTAATAGATTTTCTTTAGCAAATAAGAATTCAGCAAAAAAATCTTTTTTTTTTCTCCCAACATCATCCTCCACCAGGCAAAATGGCAGCTCTACATCAGTAGGAAATCTACATCAGCAAGGAAATACTCTCAAAACAACAGAACAGCAGTACCACAGCAGTAATGTCTTCTGCTTTGGAAATGTGTTACCTTGATGTTTATATAGCCACAGGAGACCATTCAACAATGGCAATGTGTTAATTCCATTGACATTATCGCTCAAATTCAGTCACAGGGGTTGGTGAATTCTCTTTTTACATGGCTCTTTCATCTAAAAGAGAATAAAGCAGGACATAATGGATGGTTAGTAACATATTGTTAAATGGTTACAAGACACAGGAAATTTCAACTAGGGAATAGGTAAAAACCGAAAAATACAAGTAAGTCCTGATTAGAAAAAAAGACTTTTTTTTTGCTGCACTGAATTATCCCAGTTTCTCAGCAATCAGAGCCAAGGGTTCTCAAAAAAAACTAAGCATATTCTACACTTAACTGAGAAGAGATGTCAGTCTTCTCCAGAATTCTGCTCAAGGGAATCTCTATGTTATTCATCATGACAAAAACTCAGGTGACTTTTTGTATTGCTCTTGTTCAACTCAACTATGGAATCTGTTCTGAGAGGCTATTATTATTCATTCACTCAGAATGAAAAAAATCCATGGTTTTAACTAAAATTGGTCAGAAGGTAAAATGATAAACAATTTCCGATATATAAAAATCTCTGCTTCAAATTCAGTGGCCATTTGGGGTGGGGTGGGAGCTTGGACATGTAGCTTCCATTTTATGGGAACAGAAAATGGAAGATAAAGGGTAATTAAAAAACTTACCAGCTAGTGGGAAAGTTCTGATGCACAATTCAGTTCTTTTGACCAATAGATCAATGGTGTTATTAGGAAATAGGTGTGGGAAGTGAATATTTACAAAGCCCAGATACAGAAGTCACCAAAACTGAACCAGCTTCTAGTCCATCATATTCAGTAACTATCATGAGTTCTGCTGCTACTATTCTGCAAACCACCAGGATTTCCTTGCTGGAACAGTATCAACCAGTGAGGATGGGGAAGAAAAGGTGTTAAAGAAAATGGTATTGCTAATACCCTGCCCCATTGTAAGGCGGGTATCACCAAACAGAACTTCATTTTATGATCTCTCTTCCTGGAACTTAGGTGGGTAACACCAGTTGCTCCCTAAAGTTCATCTATATGTCCTAGCCATCATCACTTCAGGGAGAGTTAATTGGTGAATTTTGATTTCCTTAGTACTGCTCTCAAATTAACACAGCACGACTTTAAAACTACGGTCTGTTCCTGCTTTTTCTGATTGATTTGTTGTCAAAACCTCATATTACATTGTCATTTTATTTGTACACCCTATCGTACCCAGGCCTATTCTTCATAGTCACTCAGTTTCCCACAGACTTAATCTGGGCTGACCAGCAGAGATACTTCAACCTTTCTTTGGCCTTTCTCATTTTTCAGTGGTTAACTGTGAAATTTTGCATTTATGAGTACAAAGGAAGTTAAATGTATTTATTTTAAAGCACATGGTTTCAATGGAAATTTTAGTTGAAGAAAGACTTTAGGTCACTAGAGAAACTGTACACAGTGTAAGGCTAGGGTGAAATAGAGCTGATGATGCCCTTTGCTATCTTCACTGTCACCAGTAGTAGTGTTTTGTACTTATATTTAGGTACCTTGTTGAACCCGACATGTATTTTAGATGAAATATCATCCTTCTCCTGTCCCCCTCTTCCCCAGCACAGTCTGCACTTGGGAATAACATTTCCCTATTTTCATATTCTTTACAGCTACTTGTCTTCACAGTACTAGATAACATGACAGTTGCTACACTGCGCTTTGTCATTACTGAAATGTGACCATACACACAAACCAGGCATTAGAATGGTAATGTAAGTATTTGAGTTTCATTGAAATGGCAAGAAGTTCAACTTATTAAGAAAGCAAATGCAAGGAGTGCATATAAGCACATTCTATTTACTCTTACATTTTAATTGAATTATCAATTGTCTAAAAGTGAACTTGTTCACTTATACATTAGCATTTCCAGAGAAGTCATCTGAATTATGTGCAGTTGTTAAAGGACCTTGTGTCTGCCCCTTAACAGCTGCCAATACACATGTCCAAGGAGCTCAGCGCGGGGAGTGTTCTGCTCCTGCAGATGAAGGGCTGCAATGCTCAGCCCAGGCTCAGCACCTGCCACCCCAGCAGAACAGGGACATCTTTGTGGCCGAGGTGGAGGCAGTGGAGGACATCAAGGAATTAAAACGACCCTGACACTGCACTGCTTTCCCATTTTCCTTCTCACATGGAGAAAACCTGCTTTGGAATGAAAAACTTCCAAAGAGAAGTACAGGCCTGGAAGAACTAGCTATTGTAGGAGAGTCTTTGCTCAGTTCATCTGAAGATTGACTTTAGAGACAACAAAAAGCACCAGGGTGCATGCAAGCATGTCCCTGTACATACACTAGTCTTATTCAGCTTCCAAAGAAAGACCTATGTCTGTCTTCTCACAACTAAAGTGTGAACTGACAGCTCTGCCTAGATGCTAATGCCTACTTCTAACTGCACAAGCAGATTCAGAGGCTTCTTTACACTAGCAAAGCAAGGGGATCAACGGACTCAGGTTATAAAGCGGAAACTCCTGCACTTCTTTTTGCAGCAGTAGTTTATGATGTGCAATCCCAAGCTGTTATGTTCAAGAAAGCCAAGCCAAAAATCATCTTGTACCGGTGCTCTTTACTGTGAGACAACATGTCAGATTCCTTGTTTTGCTCCCAGGAAAGCCCATTTACTTATTAAGTATAGGAAGCATTTCCAGCAGTGCTGTCTACTGGGAAAGTCCCAGCAGCATTGTGATTTGTTGGAACTTGCACTGATTACTTGAGGGTGTAGTGCTGCAAATTGATGCAAGCTCAATAATTTCCACTATGAATTTCTAAACCTTTTTTTCTAACCCACTTTGACTTAATGGAAATCTAATATACAGTCTAGACGTTCCTAAGTGACAAATTTCCACACTCAAAACTACTGCTTTCTGACATTCATATAGGATGGTGGTTTTATATGGCAGTTCAATTAACAAGTTACGGTATTCTTTGAGACTATATCTAATGCCATCTCTTAAGGGGAAAATTATCACCGCAATCATATTGAAGAAATTACATTTTATATATACCCATGCATTTAGAAGAGAAAATGTGACTCTTCATACATTTTAGCGTGTAACTTAAGGAAATGAAACCTCTGGTGTGACTTACATTACAAGGAATCAAAGAACACTTCTAAAGAATAAAGCTTTTTTGCTCATACCACATCCTTTTCTAATTATTACTGAACAGTATGTGTTCAGTGCTGTATTAGATAATGGTTCATGCAATGCGTATTTGCAAATAAAACTCAATTGCTTATTATTTCTTGTCAACAGTCCTATTTATCTGCCAAATACCTCAGAGAGTAAAAGAGTGTGAATAAGTAGGACAGGCTCTTAAGCTAACTGTAGTTACACAGAACAATTAAGCACTAACACAGGAAGCATTAAGTCTAAAATACCTTTGTCTGTTACATGGCCTTTCACTTGTAGTTAGAATAACATCACTCTAACTAAAATTATATGAATACCATTCCACTGCGGTTCTCATATGTTTATACCATATATGAACTTTGTTTATATTCCATTTATACTGGAATTCATTGTTGTTTGCAGGGTCTCTGAAAGAGAAGGGAGAGAAAAAAACTGGCTGAAAAAAACCTGAGATGGATATACCCATGTCTGATCTGAGGGCAAAACCTACTTTTCACCACATACATTGACTTGGTTTTAGATAAGCAGTTTCCTTTAATAAGACAACATACTCAGAGAGACTGTAAAGTGTTCCTCCCACTGGGATTATATAATTTAATGTTTTTGTACCGAGCTATGCAATCATTTAATTGCGCAGATAAATCTCAAATGCAGACAAAAGTGTGATTCTACTTTTCCCCTTCATAGAAATTACTTTGTTGTTGTGATTCTGCAGTCAGTTTGTAGCCTCAGCTCCATCTCCCCATCCCATTTCATGTGCATTTCTGTCAGATGACTACAGTATGTTTTCTCCAGTGTACTTTAGATAGCATACTGTATATAAGGGTTTTTTCCAAGCTTGAAAGCTATACACTTCTTCCATCGTTTTCATATACATTTTTGTCCCTAAGTAGAATTTTACTTTAACAGAACTACCTCAAAACACTTTACAGATCCCTGGGTTACATTTTTGTCACTATTCTTGGACCCATAACGCTTGTACAAACTCCATGCCACTGTGATGGACTAGGATTGAATTAATCAGGATTTACACTGACAAAGCCGAAAGCATTATTTGGGTCCTTTTACACAAGATTAAGTGCCAAAAGATGCTCTTTCTCTCCCCCATTATAATTTGCTGCATATTGAGAAAATGGAAAATACCCAGGAGACTTTTTATAGGGAAATAAAAAAAAAATAAAGGAAAAACACCATTATGGTGCCAACAGAGTTCATGTGAAAAGCAAGTATATAGTGAAGCTGTGCTCCTGTTAATTGTAGGATGGAAACAGTGAGGTTGTGGGTTTGGGGTTTTTTGCTACGGCCAGAATCTTGTAAACTGACTATGAGGATTCTCATTCCCTCTGCTTTGAACCAGACCATACATTATGAAAAGGACCTATGGTACAGTAGCAGAAGGCCCTTAAAAGTGAGGTCAAAACTAGCAATGTAATTTAGTATTTCAGTAGTTTAAAGACAGGTCCTGGTCATCCATCCTCGGCTTTGCAGTGGTGGTTGTTTTTAACCCTTCTTCCCCCCGGCTTTTTTATTTTCCCTTTTTCTTCTCTGTCCTAGGGCCCCCTCTAGTGCTACCAGAGCAGACAGCGTAGCTCTCAAACTGACAGGATGAACTTCGAACATACGGCTATATCGAGAGGTGATCACAGCCTTGAGACTGCACTCCAGCCAGACCCACCACGTGCCGCCTTCTTATTCACAGATGTCATTTTATTAGGGATAAACACATCCACAGGATGGAAGAAGTTTTTGAGATAATATACAGAAAAGCTCCTTGACATCCATAGCTACCGTGCTGGTTCATGTGAGCATTGCAAGGTTGCCATCTGAGCCTGCATCAGAACCTCCGCAAGGATTGACCCCCATGCGCTTGGCAGAGGTGGCCTGTGGGTAGTGGGGGAGAAATCAAACATTCACGTTCCATATATAGTCTCTAAGGCCCCAACTCTAAGGGTCAGCTGTGGCCAAAAGAAATCCACAGGCAGCAAGATACATGGTGTGAACAAAGAGCTCTCCAACCTCGGTGCAGATATGACAGCTTTGAAGAGTGTGGAAGAGGGGCTCTGGATTTGTTAGCATTTGGCTAACAAATGCTTGCTTATGGGGTGTCATCCTCATACATGCATTAGATAAACAGCAGCAGAACAAAAGATGACGATTCAAGGAGATATGTCATTAACATCTGGTGAGATTTACCTGGAGTTAAGTATTAATATGAAAGAGCCATTCATGTGAAGTTGTCCTCCAGATGCCAACAAACCTCACATGCTGGTCTGTCACCCTTCGCAATGCTACCTGTTGGACTGTGCTCTGCAACATCTCAAGTCTCACAGGGAGTTCTCATAAAGGCATAACTTGGGCTCGTACAGCCTGTGCTATATACAGTATCCCAAGGTTACTCCTAAAATCCTGACGCATGCTTCAAAGCTTAACATTAGTGGATTCCTAGTCATCATCTAGAAGAAAGGGAAAGACAGCAATTAACACTCAACACCTACACTGAAGCTCTTGCCATCATCTTCACCTTCAAGAACAAAGCTTCTTCATCCCAGCTTTGCATGACTAAGTAAGAGATGACAAAATCTATGCCTGCTGCCTTTTCTTCTGAGCATCTCAACTAATTTACCCTGCCACCTTTTTTTCCTTAAAAAATATGACAAGCACCTGCAGGAACAGAAATGGTCTCTGCTTGGTAGATAACACTGTGCATATAAACTACGTACACCACGGATTCTTTCACCTTACTTGGAATATCAGTACCACTTGGAGGATCAGTACCGCCAAAACCAGAGTACTGAATTTAACAAAGGTGTGACCCTGCCCTCGATGGTAAGACTTAGTCTGTTCTCACCTGGCCCCTCTGTTTCCACTCAGTTCGTTTTGTGTCTTAATCAGCTTTGGCTGCCATCCCTTCCTCATCTTTTCCTGGTCACTTGCTCCCTGACCATATGGTATATTTTGGCTGCAAAAGACATTGATGTCATTATTCATGAGGACAACTAATTCTAATTAAACAAACAAACAAACAAAAAACCCTCTCAAAAAAACCTCAAACCGAGCCAAAAAAAACACAGAGACAACAACTGACAAACTCTAGCATGAAATAAAACTGAGGAAAATACTTAGTTTCTTCCTTGACGTGATGTTTTGGTTGTGAAAGGAAATGAACAGCATTTTGCAGACAGTGGGCAGAAGCCACTAATGACAGCTGAGCCCAACAAAATTTATTCTTAGTAAAACATTAGTGCTTGCCTCAGAGACATAAATTCTTGATGGTCTTAACTATTACATAAATTATATAAACCTTGTGCCAGGAAATGCAACTGCATTAAGCACAGCCTACTCCCAGTACTATATACCTCAGCAATGGTGATCAGTGCAAGATATCTCACCATGTGTAAAAAATGATGCCCAGTAATGGCACAGAAAGTCTATCAACTATCTACAAATTACTCTCAACACCCAACTCAAAATAATTTCTTCTTCCATTTGCTTTGGAACAAAACCTTTTTTGTTATTTGCCTGCAAGTTCCAACAGTTTGGCTTTTCAGCAGCCAAAAAGGATTTGCTTTTTAATCAATTACAGCAGGAAAAAAAAAGGGGGGGGAAATGGGGGAAAAGTAAAAGCCTCCTTCTCACCCCACTTGGGCACAGACCTCAGACCTTATGTTCCTGTCCCCATAACTTCACTAGGAAAAACCCAACTGAACTGAACAAATACAAAAGCAATACACTTCAGCAGCTGCCATTTATTTGTCTGGCACATGAGCAAGAAACCTGGGAAAACCAAGATTTCAAAAGCAATGGTTATCCTGTAAATCCTGAAGGCAGATGTTACATTTCATTTGATTTGCTGAACTTGGACCTTGCCTATACTTGGATTTCAAGTATTACAACTAGGACTAGACTGAAATCAAGGAAATTACTTCAAGTAAACACATAGCTAACTGCACTTTTACCATAAGGGTTTTTTTTCCCCCTGAAAACTCCACAGAATTATATTGCCAGGCTTCAAAAGATGACAAATTAATGAATACTTCTGTCTGTAAGGATTCAAAGTTCTTGCTCCAAGTATCTTTAGAGATGGTGCCTCAAACATTGTATGTAGACGCATCCAGTGATCTTGGCATCTTCACTCCAGAATATGTCTTCTTGAACTGAAGAACTACACAAACTGCAAAGACAGGTGCTTTCACAAAAGAATATATTATATGAAGAACAGCTGCTTTAGCCATTGTTGAAGATGGCCCACAGCTGAGCAACACACTATTCAGTCATTAGCAGAAGGGCAGAATTTGAAGGAGGTGACCTGTGTAATGTGGTCTCAGTAATTTCTTGAGTTTGAGAAAAAAAATCCTTGAGCTACCCAAGAGCATTATGGGAATAAAAGAACATAGATTAAAAAAGGAAAAAAAGAAAAGAGTTTTGAATATAGGATAAAACAAGTTGCATAGTTTGAAGATTAAAATGAGTTTAGGACAGATCAGCAAAGTTTAGCTTTCTTGACTGACAGGAACAGTTTCACTTACTGTTTTTGCTCCTTAACCAGCAAAAATTTAAATCCTTCTCAAAAAGCAGGACCAGAAGTCAAAAGAAAGCTCAAGATCAGGCATTTTAGCAAGCGCTGGATAAAAAAAAACAACAAAAAAAACAGGCAAAATGCTTAATGCCAAGGAATCTTTCAGAACAATAAAGGATAACAATCATTTTCAGTGACGAGATTCAATTAAGAAAATCAAATGCTTTGTCTTCATACATCAGACCAAAATAGAAGTACAGACCTGAGAATTTAAATGTGACGTTAAAGTTAGCCACACGTTTAAGAATACACATTAGCCAAAAAGCCTTTGTAGTCTGTTCTACTTGGGTGAAAAAGCCCCGTTGAGAACTACATCCTCTGAGCTGTGCTCCGTTTCTCAGTAAGAAGCCAATTTCTTTTCTCCTGTGCCATCTTCTAAAAAAAATAAAGATGATGATTATCGACAGCTATCTTAGCCTATTAGCAATCAATGAATATAAAGTATATTAGACACTGCATTTATAACTCACCCCAAATTAAAGCGCAACACTGAAAACATACTACTATTGAAAATACCCACTTCCTTTTACCATTCAGTTACCTGCTCTTTTCCACATCAGCTGCATTCAGCTCACCTCTCACAAGTTACAGTACAGTTGCTAATACACCCAAGATGGACATATGGACATGCTCACTTGCTTACAAGTTACATTTTGTTTAGAACAAACAACCCAGACTATGAGAATAAGCTTGCAATACAAAGTGCAATGCTGCTTTTTTTTAATCCACGCTCTATTTACCATTCTTACAGTGAATGAGAGTGATCACTGTAACAGTAGATTAAATGCTAATTTGCAGAGCCAAATACTTTATGTGATCTCATTAACCACATGCTGTCTTTGCCCTTGTATTGTTCATTAGCATTCAAAGAGACTCACATAGGTGAAAAAGAACTCGGACCATGTCTTACTGGGGAAGTGAACCCAGCGCAGGCAATCTTGTCAGCAGCGGCTGACCCAGGTTCTAGATCACACAAGACCAAACCCATTTGAAGAGCTCTGCAGTCTTCAGAAAAGGAAGAGGCTTCTACTTCCCACACCTCCTTCCTCCACTACTTTCTTACCCAAGAAACAAAAGGGAGGAATAGTACTTTTTCCAGCAGCATGGTTCCTTGCCCTCTCAGAGGAACAGAGACAACAGTACATTTCAACTTTATTAGAAAAAAACAAAAGTTTATACAAAGCTCTGCATTTTACAGAAAACCACCTCCCCCAAACACAAAGAAA